GGCGGTTCTGCCCAATGAAATCAGCACATCTTGGGGCACCCACAACTCCAAACAAAAACACCTGCATTCACAAACAATCATAAGCCCCTGAATCACAACAGGACGTCACAAAAGGCAAAATCTGGTCTTTCCCATCTTGGGATGCATCGTCAGGCGCTCAGACAGCTGTAGTCCAATTTGAACAGCCCTGAGCTTCGCATCTACATCGCTGCCACAGAGGCATTGGGATTGCAGAGGGAAGAGGGGTGGAGAAGGTCCTGAATCGAGTCTAGCATTTGAAAGCCAAGGTCACCACTCTGGGTCTAGAACCTCAGGAACCGGATGCCTTAAACTCCAAACCCTAGATGGCTGCCACACAATGCCAGCCGCGTTCACCTTGCCCTAAACCCGAGGATCGCGTATGACTCTTGGCTCTTCGGGACTTCTTCCATTCTTGGCCCCTGGACGGACCAGGTACTCCTTATCGTTGGGGCCTGTGTTCTGGCTCAGCACCTCCAGGGTTCAATTCTGAGAGTTTAAGGGGTTGGAAACATGAGGGAGCCATGACTTCAGCAACTGCCACCTGGTCGAATCGCTTCGGACTTCGGGCCTCACATTTGAAGACATGACCTGCGCTTGGCACCCCTAAAGATCATAAGCCCCTCCACATTGGCCTCTCCCCCGGGTTCAGCGGGTGAAAGGGCGGCTGTCAAGGCCGCAATCGTTCCAGGATCGACCGCTTTTCTGTGGTGCAGGTGGGGACCTGGTGCTGCTCTCTCGCACCATCGCCCAGTATCACTTCACACAAAGTGTACACCTCTGCAGGCATCAGGCAAGGCGTATGTCTCCAGAGGGCAGCCGGTAAAGAGAGAGCTAGCAAGCAGCGGTGATCTTCACACGGAGAGTCTCAGCTGGCAGGCTGTCCGAGCGGGGGAGCTCTTGAACCCTTCTTGCTTGACATCCTCCCCGAAGCCCCAAAAAGATGCTGTGATTCTTGTCTTGCTCAACAAGTATGGGCCTCATGCGTGCACGGCAACCCTGATGATTTTCGAGCTTCATGGGATGAACTGGCCATAAGCACAAAAACGATCATCATGATAGCATAAGGATGGTCGTGGTAGCAAGCCTATGGCGCATTGATTCTGGCGATGCTGCTGCTGCTGCTGATGATGATGATGATAATGATGATGATGCACTACGAGCACCAATACCACTACGACCATGACGACGACTACTAGGACCTGTACTTACTACTCTGGTACTATGGTCTACTTGCTCAAACTATTGTGATGTCCACTACAAAAAGAGCTCGGCTTGCTCCTATTACTCCAGAAACTACTATTACTACTGTAATTCCTTCGATATTGCTACAACTGCTCCTATCCGTACTATTGCTACTACTCATGTCGATGGTCGCAATAAGAAGAATATTCTTCAAAGAGCGCAATGCTGCCCTGCGGAGCTGCCACAGAGGGGGGGGTTTTCAAGTGTCGAGCACTTCAGGTTGACTTGACATCTCCTTGGAATTTTCGGCAACCCTTGTCCACACACGCGTGGCACCTTTGGTAATGCTCCAGCCTTGCTCTTTACACCAAGCTGCGTATCATGTCTTTGCAGGATGCTGAGGATATTGAACATGCGATTGACTCTGCTAGAATCGAAGAACCCCCTCAACCCCATGCAGCGGACGCCGAGCCTTGCCGAGCCCAAATTTCAATCTTTGCAACTTCAGAGTGCAAAGACACACCCAGTCCGCCAAAGCTGTGCTCTGATTTGCAATCATGCACATCATCGGCTTTCCCTGGGTAGATCCAAGAAGGACAACAAGAGCTCTTCTTATTCCTCGTGTGACAGTTGTACCTGCCCAGTGAATGCGACGGAAAGCAAAGCAACTTCGAAGCTAGGGCAACGACGGAAAATGCTTGGCTTTTCCCTAACCCATGTCTCCAGCTTGATGCTGGGGTGAAAACTCTATCACAGGCGGCTGTGAAGGCTGTTGCCGCATGTTGCCGCCAATCCTCTTGACGGCAAGACCCGTGCCTGGGATGCTTTCAATGAATGACTTCCAGCAAGAGGACCGCGCAAACAGCGGCGTTAGCAGCGTTGTTGCGGGTTGCGTGGCTCATCCATTACAATCTCTCGCTACGGCAGTTACGCAAAGAGACGCCAAGGCGCCTCAAAATCTTGCGTATGCCTTGTCCGAAATCTGTTTCCCAAAGCAGACATGTCGCTCGCTACACTGTGAAGTGAAACCTGCTGCACACTCTGCGACACTCCATGCTGCAGTTGGCCCGAATTGCAAAATCAGGGAAACCGGCCGCTGGCAGACTCAGCATGACTCAGCATGACTAAAAACATACGGATGTCAAGGCAAAAGCTTGCTCTTCTGGCTATGAATAAGAGTGAATAAGTACCTTAAAATCACAGCAAGATCAGCTGGGCAAGGGAGGTGACCATTGCCACACTCCCCAGCGACCGAGCTCCCGATGCCTCCAACGAATCGTAATTTTGCGAGCACGAAAAACCGTGAAAAACCTGAAGACCTTACCCTGTCTTGGTCCGTCAGCAAAGCAACAGCTCGCATGGCTTGTGCGGTTGCTTGCTTGTGGTCGTCGGCAGAGCTAGGGGAAAAGACAATTGTGCTTTCTAAACCAGGTGCGCCAGACATTACACTTACACCGGGTCTACCCCCTTCTTCATGCCGGCGGCACGTGTTGAGTACCGACCGGAACTGATCGAAAACTTTGCCAGAATCTGTCCAAGCAGGAACAGCGAAGAAGGTTTCTCGGATGCTGGCGCATGTCACTCTCCATTCTTCTGGCACTGCTGCTTCTTCATTTTGATCCCGCAGGTGTGGTGACAAGGCGGACGAACTTTCTGCTGGATCTTCTGGCCACATTCCATGACACTACAACCCTGAATCAATCTCAATCTGTGCACCCTTCCTTCTTTTCTTCTACCTCCGACGGCGATACTGACAGAAGGAGTGTGCTCTGTGGCCGCGGTACGACCGCAGCAGTGAAATCCATCTGCCATATCTGCCCCATGAAATGCACAAAGAGTCCCTGTCATCCTTTTCGTCCCTGGCTATTCGGGCTTTTACTTCAGGACTGGGCTTCAGGAAGTGCTTAGAAGGGTTGAGGGTTGAGATCCAAGGGCGGCAGGGCAGCAGGGACCCACACTGAACAAGGCCACAGCTTTGAGTTGCGGAGCTGGCCACAGGAGTCACTAAGACTACAAGGGATCCTCTTTACTCAACCAGAACAAAGAAGAAGAATAAGAAGAAGATGCTCATTTTAAAGGGCGGTACATGGCGGCATGAGCGGCAAACCCGAGAAAGGGCCGAGAATGAAAGAGAGAACCCCCCCCCCCCCTAGAACTAACCCTTGTTAATAAACTCCCTCAATAGGTCCCCCCAAGGCCGTGGCCTGCAGCGAGAGCTTTTCGCAGCTTTAAAGCACAGCAGATCCAACTTCCCTTCGGGTCACGACAGGGAAGAGCCAGCCTGGCGCCCCTCCCTACAAGCCTTAAGACTTAAGACATCCTTTCCTTCAGCTCTGACATTTTGGGTCTTCTTGAAGGGCTTCAGTAGGGTTGTAAGCAGGTCGTTAAGGGTTTAGTGGTTGACGGGAACTCAGTCTTCCAACATCGGTTGTTTTCTGGGGATGTAGAGCTCAGTCGCTCGGGCTGGCGAAGGCATGCGCTGCGCAGTACCAGTGCCCAACGTGCTTTGAAGTCGTTTGAACACTTCCATCATGCTCGATTTAGTCATCAGCTACTCGTTCTATAGTTGATGCCATGATGCTTACTCGGGGTGGCGAAGAACTTGTCTCAAAAAGCCGGAAGAGCTCACCGCAAACAGAGGAGCAGCTGGTCAGCGTGAGGATGTCACACTATCTTTCATGCGCTGTCCATCAGCTCCTCTTTTAGACGGGCTCGTGTTCAGGAGCAGGTGAAACAAAGGTCGAGACTCCCATCCTTGGAGCGGAGGCATGGTCAAACGGAGTGAAAAGCATGAAAAGCATCAGCTAGATTCTTGTCGTGTCGGATGGCTGAGGGGGCGGGGATGGCAGCAGTAACTTGCGGAATTCATCCGAGATCACTGGGCTGCAGGCGTGACTTACTAGGTCCTTGAAGCAGCCTTGGATGAGCGCGTGCTCCTGTGTCAGCAGTCTGCTCACCTCACCTCAAACCTTCGAGTCGCAAACTCAACGAACCCCCAAGGCCCCCAAGCTACCCGCAGGCTGCGGCTTGTAATTTGGAGGATGGCGTTGCGTACGACGCAATCTGTAATTCTTGACAGCTCAGAAATTGAGCTTGGGGTCCTTTGGCCATTGGGGGCTTCACTTCTGAACCCAGGCCCTTCGCTCCGCGTGCTTCGTCAGAGTTGTCCCCTGCTGCCTCCACAGCCTCCTGCAAAGGCCCTGAAGCCCCTAAAGGCCCTGACGGCCAGCCTTCAGGAGCAGCTCCGGAATGGGGCGGTCACTGAACTTCAGGGTCTTTGTGCAACAATTCCTCAGGGTGCGCTTCCAGGATTCTTGGGGCTCTGTGGGTTTACGGATGAAGGAAATTTCGGGTCAAGCTGTTCCCCCTGTTAACTATTCTAATGGTTGCTATTACTGTGTTTGTGTTTGCTAATTGTTGTTCTGATGTTGTTTGCGATTACGATTGTTCTTCGATTGTGTGTATTTCTTTCTCTTTTGTGGTAGCAGTTGCCGCAATCTGTAGCTCCAGCACCCCCGCTCTTACTAAGGTCCCTATCGATGACTCAGAAGGGAAGTCACATAGGGTTTTCACGATGGAAGTGCCTCGGATGCACAGACAAACAAGGCCCCGACTTCAAACGCTCGGTAACGCGGATGACAGCCTGCGAAGCCCGCTCAGCTCCAAAAGCTTCGTCATTTGCACTTTCGGAATATGTCAAATATGGCTTGCACTCTGAACCCCAGGAAGCGCAACCCTCAACCGTGGCCGTACCAAAGAGAACATGGAGAGCCTTCTAGACCTGTAACCCTGGCCCTTCACGCCTCCCGCTCATGAAAGGAGTCGCCGAAGGAAATGACCTGACGATTGGTGCAGAGAACCTTTGCGCATTGAAAGGTAATCCGCGCCATTTGGAGACTTCAGGGCCTCAGGGAGCCTGCTGGTAACGGATCATGTGCGCATACCGACATCCTAAATCACGTCCACCCAATCTCTTGTTGCCGGCCCTTGATTTCGGGGAGGCTTCGAGAATGCCTGCTTGGGCTACGGTTTGAACCCCAGACCAAAACCTGTGGCTGTGCAGCCCCACCATTGCCCACCATCCAGTGTCGCTTGTGCAGGACTCTTGTTTGTGATGAATGCTCAAAACACACGCCGCGGCTGACCCCACAATCTGCGAACTCTCACAGAGGCACCCGGCATTTTTGAGGCGATCCGACGTCATTGATTCGTAGTAGTTGCAGATCTCAGTCTCGAAAGCAAGGTATTTCCACCTCAGCCCCACAAAGCGGCCAACAACTGGGGGCTTTCCTGGGGCTTCGGGGTCCTTGAGGGCTGCGGGCTCGCCCGCAAGAAGTATCTTTTCACGCGCAAAGCTGGACTGGAGACCTAAGGCACCAGCTGGAATGGAGCAGCCATACCTGTCGCGTGCAAAGTTTAGGGTGTATACTTCCGGGCTTTAAGGCTCTGGGTTTACGGGGTGGGGTTCAGGGATTGGGGTTCAGAGTTTAGGGTTCTTTCGCTACTCACAGGTTCATGGGCCCTTGTATGTAGGGTCAAACTTCAGAGGCAACTACCCATGGATCTCCAAGTAACTATGATGCTTCTAAGCACCAAAACACATGAGGAACTTGTTGGGCAAAGCTGGCTAGCTCTATCCTCAAACGGGTTCGTGGCATGGCGTAGTGTAGCTTGACCAACTGAATGCCTGCAAACCCATGCCTCGCCAGCTTCTTGCTGCGAATGCATCGAATCGGGCTTTGGTTTGGAAAGGCTTCGTAGGGTCATAGGGCTCAGAACGCTCTTGAATTTATTGCGCATCATTGCTGCGGATGCAAGGGTCTTGTCCGTCGGGTGTATGCGCGACTGGCATGGGCACCTTGACCCTCGTAGGTAGATCGCGCTGAAAACAAAGTCACATCCTGACAAGGGCCACACACTGTGAGTTCCCAACGCTTAGCTTGGGCATAAACTGTGAGGCATCAGAGCTTCCCTAGGGGACGCCCTCCTCCTTGTTTGCTAAAAGTTTCGGGTTTTGCAACAGAGAACGAAGATGCTCACGCGCTTCCTCAGCTTGACCTACTAGAGGGTACTGGCATCAAAGTCCGGTGTTCCGTGTGTTTTGCTGTTTCTTGGGTGGGAGGCCCAAACCCCGCCGGCGACGCGCAGGTTGAAAATTAGTCTTTGCTTTTACGTGGCATCTTTGGGCCATTTGGGTATTTACAGGGACCCTTAATTACTGAAACTCCAAGGATATGCTGCGAGCCCATGCCCTGCAAGATTCTTTGCAAGTGAACCAAAAGAGTGATTGCAGGTGGTGTGAAGCTGAACGACTTTGTCACGCCAGTTTTTGCGAATTACACGGCAGCTGCGTACCTATTCAGCCAATGCATGCCCACCCCCCATGATGCTCTCTTCAGATCGGCCGGAAACCATTTGGGGGTTTCCGAAAATAAGGGACTCCCCAATAGTAAGTTTCCCTTATAATAAGGACCCCCATAAGGTACCCCAACTTCGGAAATCCCCATTTGATGTTGTCTCAAAATGGCTGTCCTCCAAATGCGGGTAGAGCGATGGCATGAACTTTTGACCTTGGCATCTGTGATTTGACGACTGGGCATCATTGACCGAAGACTCTTGCAAAATCTCCGCTGCAGCAAAGCCAGTTGACATGCAACCCTAGGCCCGACCCTGCCCACCCCTGCAACAGCGCGAGCTGCTCACCTAAGGTCCAAACAGCTGAGCTCAATCCAGCCGCATTCTGCGTTGGTGACGAGAACTACCTTCAGAACTTAAGGTTGAAATTTTAACGGCTGAAGCCTTTCCCGAAGACATCCGGGAACGGGCCTATCAGCCGGTGGTAACCCGAGCATAATTCATCTACAGGCTGGCAAGCGAAGACCAGTCCAGCCCTGCATAATTTCAATGGTAACGTTCGTATTTCTTAAAGATTTTGCACGAACAACGGGATTCAAATTCTCTCGTCCGCGTCCCCGACCTACTGCTTGGTGCCGAAATCGTTGTCGTGAATCTGAACCACACCCCGAGATCTAAGGGAGCTCACCAACATTCGGGCCTTGTCATGTGAGACAGCTTTGTCGCTTAGGGTTGGATCTCGACGCACAATGTTGTGCAGACTTTGCATGCAGCTGTAACCAAAGATCTGTGTGGGATACAGGAAACTGGCATGTGCATGCACGTTACAGCCTTCCCGTAGCGCTTGGCCACGCGAAGAGTCTCAGCAGCAGTCTGTGCCAAGACAGCAAGCTGTGCCTGCCGTGTCGCTGGAGATTTATGCCCGGGCTCCGGCTGGTTGGAATCTTCTCGTGTTTCTCGGCTGACTCTGGCTGACTCTGGCACTAAGGGTAGCTATGCCTTTGAAAGCTTGGGTCATTGCGGGTCCAAGCCGCCTCTTGCTCCAACGAGACGTGAGATGCCTGCCGATGCAGCAGTAGTCGTAAAGAGGATTATGCAGGAAAGCAGTCTGCGCCTTGATTCTGATGAAAAGATAGTAAAAACACGTGTAATATCTAGTAATCTAGTATATGACATCTCACATAGGCTAGCGTAAACGAGTTGTTGCTTTGGTTTGGTGGGGACAGGTTCAGGCGAGCCTGGGTTTAGGGTGCAAGCGTCTCGTCCCACACCGTTTCCTTTCTTAACCCCTTGTTAAAAGATGCCCTAGACTCTCATCACAACTTTCCGCAGTACCAGCAGAGCGCTCACGAAGTCAGCACCAAGAGCACGAGGCGTCTCAGCATCTCAGCGCAGCATGTCTGCAAGCATTGAGCATGGAGAGCCGCCTCGTCCAGGCTCAAGCTCTGCTCTGAGAGCCACGAGGAGGGAAGCATCTTGGCGCAACCGGGTTCAATGCGTTTCAGATCTTGGGGGCTTCTGCATAAACACCCTGAGGGGAGGTGCCCTCGCGCTGAAAGGCTTGAGTGCTGAGCCGTGTCGTCCCAATCGAAGATCAGAACTGTGTCCTGCACCCAAGGTCATGGATCCGACTCTCACGGGCCTTCTTCCAGCCACCGCAGATACATTGCCAAGGTCTATACCCGACGAGGCGACACTTCCCAGGCAAGTGCTTTGCAAGGTGTCCTCTGTGTAGAACGCATGAGGTTCGTCGTCACTCTGGCTGTCGCTGCACTCAAAGTCAGACGCCTGCCATCAGACCAGCATCCTCAATCGTGTCGAACATGGGCTGCACACTCACACACACAGACAGAGTTAGAGTTAACATGCATGGCATGCTCACTCATATCACACAGTACATTGTGCATGCTAGGCCTCGCTCACTAAGTCGGTGGATGGATCCGACTGGGCGTCTGTTTCGACCTGGGTTCAGGAGTCGGAGCCAGGAGACACGCGCCGGGGAGTCGGCTTAACGTTTTCAGAGATACCACGGTATGGGTCTGTGATATTGATTGAAGCTACAGTGTGTTCGTGCACACACACACAATGTATTGCAGGGCGAAAGCGCCTGTTCCTGCCTTTCCCAAGGGCTCGGCTAGACCTTCTCCCATCAGCGTTTTCAGCATGGTCTTCTGCTCCTCAATGGTTTGGGCCTGAGCGAACATTGGCATCGGTGGCAATCCGGGATGCTGAGCATTCGTTTGGCAGTTGACTTGCTTGTGGGGGCTCAGGTCGTTCCGACCTCTGAGAGTGGTGCGAGAACGAACTGACAGACCTATTCTCAAATTGCTCAAGATCCAAGAGGAACCCTTCAGATCAAAAGGACGAAGACCGGCAACGTGCAGCCGTCACGGCCGGCTTGGGCGATTGAGGGCCTGCGTCGGACCAGGTCGGGTTTCACAACGACGGCGGTTTGGGTCTAGACAGCAAAAGCCGCAACGACGATCGATCGTGCCGCAAGCTCTTTTTGCTAGACCCGAACCCCCCCATAAGCCATCATAAGCCCAGACGGCCCAGTGCAAGTCCTAAACCCTGAGCCCCGACAAACCCAAAGTCGTTGAAATGTGTCCGCTTCTCTTCTCCCCCACCCTCCCCCCCCCCCCCGGCCCCCCCCAATATTTCAACATCTGGGCTCTTGGCCATGGCTAGCAGGGCCTTGGAAGCGTTGCTGGAAGGGCTTCGGTTTCCCGAGCTTTTGGGTCACAAGTTCTTGGCACAAGGTGGCGCCCTCCCGAAGCCTAAGCTGGCCAAAACCTAAACTCTCATGGGCGCAGCAAACACCTCCTAAACCCTAAACCCTAAACCCCAAACCCCAAACCCCAAAGCTCTCTCAGTAAGGGAGCTCTCCTGGGCCTCCTTTCACTTGAGTCGCCGGCTCTTTGTCGGGGGATGAGCCTGAGCTCGCGAAGGCCACAAGATTCACCTCTCGCCGCAAAGCTCCTCTCAACCACCCTAATCACACCCAGAAAAATGCGGGTAGCGTAATCTGAAATCTCCCAGGGGCATGCGTCCACCGGAGGCGGTCTGCTTCTGACAACACAGCGTGCTTATCAAGGATTCCCCCGCAAACGGGATCCTGAATGCAGTACCCCAAAACTCCCGACTCTTCATCTTGCGAACCGACAGCAGCGGAGCTGAGATCGGAGCGGCGCTGTGTCGAGAGTACAACACTCTTCACTTCTGATACGTGTAAGCCTCGAGCCAAAACTTCAGCGAAGACCTGGAGTCACGCGGTTTCCCCTGCCCTCTACCATCTCGAGGATTTTTGCAGTGATCCTCGAAGGACCACTTATGATGGGTTTAGAGTTGTATTTCAAGGACGGCGTGAATTTGCACAAGCCTACTTATCCATGAGTATTGGAGATTCAGCCATCTCCCTCCCCTTGCCTCACCTCAATATCCCCAGCGCTGTTCACTCGAGTTTCTCCAGGTTTCGCAATATGTTCTGGCTTCCGCTTCCAGGTGAGCGAGCCAGATCCTGTGCATGGTGCACGCGACAACAAAGTGGACGTTAGCACGAGGTAGCAGCCACGTCTCAACCTTGGGTTCGAGATCGCCGACCAAAAGAGTGCTGAAACCCAGTCCAGCGCGAGCGATTTGACTGTTGGCTCGACAAGTTCGGGTGGAAAGGAAGAGAACAGGATAACATGCCAATAACATGCACTGTAGCAATTGTTTCTCGAAAGCGATGACTGCAAATGTTAGCCATGGTTGTACATGTGTTGGCGGTGGCTCGTACCTGTATCAACGGTATTTGTGGTCGTGGTGGTGGTGGCTGCAGTAGCAGCAGAAGCATGCTTTCTCATCCACCATTTGCTGCTTTCGGTCCATTATATGCAAAATATTTTCTCATGCATTCGCTTAGTGTTGTATGGGGCGTTCGTTTTACCTTCTAACAGTGTTCCTGTTCCTGAATATTTCGAGAACTTAAGGTGTTCATTCGATGTGCTTTTGTCCTGGAGATCTTGCTCAGTACAGAGAGGTCATGTTGCCCCGTAGACCAAGAAATCAAGGATGAACAAAGCGAAACACCCGATACGTATGATGCGCACATGTAATCATAAGGGCGAAGTTGGACTCTCCAAACATTCATTGTCAGCCCCACGGGAACAATCTCCGGGAAATCAAGACTTCCGTTATGTATTGGCAGGGGCAGGAGCAGGAGCAGCAGCAGGAACAGCAGCAGAAACAAGTACAAGTAAAGATTCGATGGGACGCGTTGTCAGGGTTGCAGCCGAATTCATGAAGATGCTGCCGCTGGGCAGTGCTCCCAAACAAGCTCTGGCCTGCAGTTTGCAAAGAGATCGACTCATGAGTTTGGCTTTGGGGCGACTGGGATGACATCTATCTCCACTATTCCTGACACAGAGCTTTGTGACGGAAAACTTTCAGGCTCTCGGCTTTGCCGAGAGCTGGAAGTTGCAAAAACCACCCACTGGACTTCCTGGCAATGTCGGACATCGGCAAAGAGGATGGGGCTTCTGAAATTAGGGCTATCCTGTTGGGGGAGGATTACAATCAGAGAATCTTGGGTGTGTATGTTGGGGGGTGCCCCTACTGGGGGAGACAGTGGCAACCATATCGAAGATCAACAGGTCCGCTTTCCTGGTGCAGCTGCCGCTCGGAAGCAACACCTTCAGAGTCGGAATATCCAGCACTGGGCTGCCCCTTGGGGGCTCCGTATGGCAGGAAACATTGCGGCTCAGCAGTCGCATGGGATCCGATGCAACAGAGGCACAAAGCCCTGGCATGCTCCTCAAGTCCTGGTCTCTTAGAGGATTTCGACCCGAAAGGTCTCTTGGAAGTTTCCTGTCGACATCCGAAGACTGCGGGCTGCTAAGGCCCTCAGTGAGTGGCAGTCCTTCGGTTGGCGGGGAAGCACACTGTCAACCACCCATTCGCACAGATTAGGATTCAGGTTTGAAGTGTGCAAGCTGCCACAACACAGGACAGGATTTCGGAGAGTTCTTCAGGCAAATGAGGCGGACGGATGCCGACTGGCGGCAAAGAGCCACAGCTGCAAGACAGAGACCCACCTCAGACAAAATTGCCCCGTTCACGCCGGTCGAGCTCCTTTGGCCTCCTCAACCCTAAGCCTTCAACCTGAAACTTCAGTCCCAAACCCTAAGCCCTTACACACTCCAGAAGCCCTTCAACCCTAGAGCCCCTAAGAAGCCCCTCCAGAGCCCTTCAAATCTTACTTGATGCTGTGCGGGCTTCGGTCCTCTGCATGGCTGGTGCTTCGAGCGCCAGAGGCTTGGGCTCCGAACCTGCTAGGTCAAAGGGTTTATAGGGTTTGTAGGGTTTTAGGGTTTATAGGGTGTGCAGAGTTTCTCGGGTATAGGGTCATCCTGGGGGCGGGGGAAGGATTTTGGTGGTTTCAGGCGGGCCAACAAATCCTTTTAGTCTGTGTTCTGGGAATCCGCTTTGCGCTCTGCCTACCCATTACAGCTAGCGAAGGAACTGATCTAATGGACACTGGGCAGCTGCGAGACACTCTTCAGCAAAAATGAGAAGTATTCCCTGTTGGCAACATGGATGTTGGAAACGCATGTCTTTACTTTCCTCCGTGGCGCGCCTTTTGGAGCAGCCCGCCGTCGGATTGGCTGTAGAGTAGCCCACTGCTCTCTGTAGTCCTGCGAGTTCGATGCCGATGCTCTTCGTATATAGTAAGGCTTGAGAACAGCTACCGTCCATCTTGAAGTACTTCAAGGAATGCTCGCTCACGGTTTCTGCAATGTTTTCTCGGCGTGCCTTGGAGGAGTCCACCAGAGACTCCTCCTCATCATCATTATCGCCATCGATGTCCAGGCCCTCTTGCAAGGCTCGTGACATCGGCGGTTCTTTGTTACTGTCACTACAAACAGGGAAGACCTCTTTCACAAAAGTGAAACAACGGCCTGCATTGCTGGACTACGGAGCCTGCATCCCTTCCGGTCATACTGATACTGGCAACTGGCACGTGCTACTAATACTGACGTCTGTGTTTGCCTGCCGCAAAGATGGCCCCATTTACCAGAAACATGTCCAGTGCGCCCTTTTGTGGCAGAACTCTGACCAAGCCGAGGTCGCAGCATCCTCCGAGACCACGGTCAAGTTCGACTTGCTTCGCATCTTCGCCGCCTTGGAGGCTCCATGACCGGCATGAAGGGGGTCATCACGAGGGGGGTTTAAAGGTTACCATCAGACTTCTCAAGAAAATGCGCACATTTCTTATACGTCATCCTTGAAAAGTACACTAGCAACGAAGAGGCTTCACTAAGATGCCCTTTGAACATTCTCATTCGCTAGTAGTTTAGGAGGCCCGTAGCTTGATGGGGCCCTCCGGGTCACCGGCCAGCTTGCTTCCAGTTCCGCGCCTCCAGGCATCACGTTCCCAAGCCCCCTTTACCCATAGCACACACACAAGCGGAGAGCTTCATGCTAGACACATAGCTCGGCCCTAATCCCCAACCCTTAACCCAGACATGCCAGGCAACAACGAGACCCCAAGAAGGCAAAGTGAGAAAAGAGCTGCCTGGACAGCGCCAGGGTCTCGACCTTCTGCTCCTCGACTTTGCCAGGCAGCGACAGCTGCTGTGGGCCGGCTGTCAGAGCCAACATCGACTCCTCTGGCTTCAGGGGGCTTTGTCGGTTTTGTGAGAGCTCCTTCGCTTGCACCTGCGCATTCTCGAATTTAGCCGTGGTGTAGATTAAGGTTCATCCATGTCCGTAACCCAACCTTTTGCATCCCGAAGTCAGCAGGACTGAGGCCTTTTGAGGCCTCGTCCTGCTGCTCTCTGTACGCATCGCTACTCCCTGCTACACTGCGTTACGTTGCGTTGCTCTGCACATGCACGCACTCGACCTTAGCACCTTGACAAAGTATTGCATGTCAAAAATTCCATCCCCTTACCATTCAATTTCCATTCGTACGCCCAGTCCCATGAATACATCATGCATGAATGCATACACAAAATATGCTTCGTCGTGAACATGTGCACTTATGGATGTAACCATATCTAAGCCAATAACAGCAAAAATCTTCCCAGAAACGTATAATTTGCCTCGTGAGTATCAAGTACTCAGAAATTCACAAACCTCAAGAACCCCAAACCTCGGGAGAGTCTCTGGTGTGGTGGAGTTTGGACTCTTGGGTTCTCAGGCTCGACACAAGTCATGCAATTTTGCTCAGCAGTTCGTGCTTTTTCCAGAGCAAACATAGTGCTTTTCCCTAGAAAACATATGGATCATATATGCAAATTAAATACAAATCAAACTCCTATTGCAATCTTTAGCACACCAATGCAATGTTCATTGCATAGAAATTGAATAGCGCATACTGGTTTTGTCGACAGAGCATTAATTCAAGCACTTTTTGCGTGAGCCTAAGGACAGACGCCGCAACCCCCCGACAAGCAGAACTTGGATTCTGAAAAAACCCCAAAACGCAGAAGGACTTATTTTACAGCATCACCAATGATATTGTTATGGAGAGTAGTAGGAATTGTAGTAGTTGTTGATGTCGTATGAGGGACAGACAGCCCGCACACACAGAAGTCAGGATGTTGTTTTTAATGATTACTGAGAATATGTTATTAGTCTACTTAAATACATATGTAAAAGCACGAGTTGTTTACGGTGCCACGGGCAAAACTGCTATCCCCGCAGGCACCCGAGGCAGGACGATTCCTAAACAATCTACGTTGAAAGTATGGGAATGGGTATCATATATCATATATCATATATCATATATCATATATCATATATCATGTATCATATGTCATATATCATATATCATATCTTATATATCATATATCGTATATCGTATATCGTATATCGTATATATATATATACACATTTTTTGAATATGAATATATCATACACACACATACATAACACCTGAGTGTTGATGCGCTCCTCAACCAATTCCAGCCGCTTGCGGTTGCCTGAAGCCACAAGCCTCCGAACCTGACGACTGCGTCTACCCAGCATGTCGAAAACCTTGGGCTTTCACTGCCCATGAAGCACAATCATGAAAGAGCCTTGACCTGCATCGCATCCCAAATCCTCAAGCTCTGGGAGCTTCCAGCAATACCCCGAAATCAATAAGAACCCCCCCTGAAAAGGACACCGATGCGACTCGCCCCCCTCCCCCCAACCCCCAACCCCCGCCAAAAAAAAAAATCGTCCCCCAAGTCAGATCCGGCAAGCACTCTTGGCCTTGTCTGACCTGTTGAGCAGCTCGTGCTTAAGAGCTGGCAGCTCGGGGATCTCCTTGATGTCTTCCTGGTGCTGAGTGGAGGTCTACTTTGACCCTCAGGGCATGCCTCAGGGGGTTGTGAAGGGAGGGGTGGCTAGCCGTACCTATGGCGCAGCACAGATATCAAATATGAAAATTTATCTATCCATCTATATATATATACATACATACATATACATATACATATACATATACATATACATATACATATACATATACATATACATATACATATACATATACATATACATATACATATACATATACATATACATATACATATACATACACATACATACACAATGAAAATCATGATGATATGTACGCATTTTTAAGCAATAAAGAAATATGCAGACATGTTTATGCTTGTATTATATATCATATGTGGAGGTTTACGAAACTAGGGGACCCTCAATCTAGATCCTCTGATCATAAGGACCCCAATAAGGCAACCCTTTAATTCGAAACCCCCCATGCATGTGCGTCTACATACATACTCCATCAGGCTCCGCATGAAACCACAGCTTGACAAGACACAGGTGGCGATGAAAGAAACTTCAGGGGCTTTCTGGCAGTTTCCAGCACCCAGAACTGCCGCGGCAAAACGCTTCTTGCTGCCCTGACGACGCCCGCGCCCGGGAGTCTGGGAGAGCCTCCGTTTTGTAATCTTGCAAGCCGCAGCTCGAACGTTGAGTCGCGCGACAGAGTCGCGCGACAGAGTCAAAGGTGTGACCTGTGACGGTCGTGAGCCGCAAAAGACAAAAAGTCGTGACTCCCCGGTCCCAGGCTGCGAGCGTGCACGGGACAGCCAGGCCAATATGAAAGTATCGCTTTTGCCTGCCGTAGATCGAACCTAGAGCTACCCGACCAAGCCTAGCCTGGTGCATGGAGGAGTGGAAGTTAAGAAATTGAGGGAAGCTACTTCCATGGGTCTCTCACACACTGCTTCCACTTTAGCGAACAGCCAAGGCTGGAAGGGTCCCGGAAGTAGTCGAGGAGATCCTTGACAAGACCGTCCACAACATCGTCCTGCGAGCTAGTTTCGAAGAAAAGCATAAAGATCAGCAAAGACGCGGCACGTCAAAACACATGCACTCAAGAAGCACCCCCCCCTGCAGCTCTTCACACTTCTGCGTACCCTCAGTCCTGCACGGATGATGGGTATTGTCTGAGGTAGTGCTGCATCGTGAAGAGCACATCGTGCCGGAACACATGGATAGGAACCCGACTGGCAAAAGTGAGAGCATCACTCACACAACTCTTCATTCAAAAGCACGAGCTGGCCAGCGCCTGACCCAAACCTTCTCCACGCGAATCGCCTGGGAGAGTCACAGTAAAGTCAGTGCAGCAACCACGGCCCTCGCCCGCCCTCAAAAACAAGAGAAAATCTCAGAGGCCCCGAGTCCGCTGGGCAGCCGAACCCCGGTGTTCAGCTTCTCTGTGGTCAGGATCTCATCGTAGATTCGCTCCCTGACTGGCATGCACAAGCAGACGAGAGGAGACACAAGCGAAGGCTGGAACAACCACAGCTGCTATGAACCAGAGACCACGATAGTCGCAGACCCTAAGCCCTAAAGGCCCTAAAGGTCCTTAGGGCCTAAAGGGCCTAAAGGGCCTAAAGGGCCTAAAGCGTCTCTTTCCGGGGTGCCAAGATCGGCTGAGACCAGGGCGAATCCGAGATCCTCCTCTCGGACTCCAGGCGGGCCTGGCGAAACGAATCATGAAGAGGAGGAACACCCCCCCGCCCCGCCCTGTAGACGCCCATAGACCCCTTTTACAAGAATCAGGGCTTGGGGCGGTTTAGGGTTCTAACTTCTTACTTCATCGACCTGGTACGACTCTCGAAGTTGCCGGGGTCAGAGAAGCCAAGCCATGCGGACCATGCAGCCATGCTTTTTCCCCCTTCTGTGGACGGCGTGGACAATACCAAGTCACCGGAGCCTCAACTTCTCGATGCAAGGGTTCAGAATACGTAGGATTGATAGGCTTCTAGGATCGCATCAGGGCTGAGGCTGGCGAGTTGGCGCCGTGCCAGTGACTTTGTCACTGGCCATGCCAGGCTGGCAACACTGATCTGATACAGGGCACTCACTTTCCACAGAAGCTGCAATGGAATGCATTCAGTTTTGGGGCTCTCTGGGTTGGTTTGCATGGGTACAGACATGTTGGGAATTGGGTTCCTTGATCAGACCGGACCGCCACTTGGCTACTTCCTGAAAGTCACAAGGTCTCAAATCACAAGGCAGCTGCTGGCAACCGTACTCGCAGTTTGCCGCGGAAGTCGTCTAAGCGTCGGTAGCCTTTCCTGTAGCAACATGCTCAACACTTACGTAGACTGGGCTCAAGGAGGCGCTCCTGGACAGCATGTGCACAGATCACGGTCCTCTGCATCAGTGCCTGAAGTTCGGCTGCTATTCGCGCGAAGCATCCAGCACCCTCCACACGGTGCTGCGTCGCAACCTCGCGGGACATTGTGGAGAACTCCCGAACCCGTCTAAGCCGTGCTTATCGCACTTCTCATCTCAGGGTCCCAACAGAAACTGTAGAGCATCCCCGTCCTGAACAGCCGACGCCCCGCACAAGATGTGAGCAAAGGCATCCTCACCCGTTGAGACACCTTAGCTGAAGTCTTGTCATCTCTGGGTTTCAGGTTGCGGTCCGCCACAGTGAGCTTTGGCCGTTTAGGTTCAGATCGCTGGCTCAATCCATCTCAATCCTCGCATGCCCCGGTACCTCCACATCCGACGATGTCGATGCTTGGGTCCAACCGTTCTCGAAACTGCCAGGGGCAGCAGACTTGTGGGTGTCAGCTCACAATCAATCAACTGCTCCTGGAAACAAGAGGTCCTGCACCGTCTCTCGAAATATCTGGGATTGTTTTAGGATTCTAGGCATAGCCCTTGCGGCCAAGGTGGCTCTGTCTTGAAAGGCTGTGACGGAATTCGCGACTTCAGCAGGGTCTACGTAGTATCCCACAACTGACCCCAGACTGTAAACCCTGTAAACCCCCGAAAAGGCCCCTCAACCCTATAGCCCCGCCGCGAAAAACACCATCCCAGGGCCTGTCTGACATTCCCCAGTGCCTGGCATGCAAGGAGCTTACGAAACGCGCTAGAGCAGACACCCCAAACAGGCGCACGGCAACCATCGCCCAGTGTCAAGGCTCCTGAAACCCCCCAAAGTCACCAAGTCGGTTCAGGCGCCGAGCTGCAATGAGCCGGACATGGTGGCCGCCCATGCCCCCAAAGCCTGGCTTTGGCGCCCGGGGACTTAGGGTAACTTAGGAGCCCTGCAAGGGCAAGGGCCTGTCGTCAAGGCGTGAAGCGCTTGCATCGGCCATCCCAAACGGAAACCGAGCTTTATATGATTAGCTTCTTTTGGCGACACAGTGTCTGACAGCATCCCATGCAGGGTGGAGCGGATAGCTGTTGTAGAGCCTCAAGGCCTACAGAATTCAGATTCCAGGGGCGCAGTGGGCCCTTCTATCACCTCGATGCCCTCAAGGCCCTAAATCCTAAACAACAATCCCACCAGCATCGCCTCCTTTGGGATGCAGGACAGTGGATTCCGAATCCACATCCACCACCAGCGCGCTCCCGACAGTGTTGCAGCATACCACATAGCCCAGGGCTCCGCCTCTGGGGTGGGCTTGCAGTCGGGCCCTAAACCCCCAAGGTCCTCGTCGGCAAGGCCCAAAACCCAACGTTTCTAAGCCACTGTGACATCCTTCTCACATCCCCAGGCAGGCCCTCAACAACCCAGCCCGGCAACCCTCTGGGCCAGACCCTAAATCCCCAAGATATGTTTAAAACATCCTATATAATCGAAAATCTTATACAGTACAGAGGGCTTACTCGCCCCCAAGCTACGCCTCTCGACTTTGCTTGTGGGTTGAGCATGGCGGCCACCGCATCAAAGAAAGGAACATCCTTGGAAGCCGCACGAAACCCTGCAAGTTTAGGGCTTGGGGCCTTTTAAAAGGGCTTGGGACGGTTCTTGCTAAAATCTCTTCTTGTAGGGGTTCGCACATGTACAGGGCTAGTTGCAGCCAGGGGGTCGAAGTACGGAGGGAGCTTGAAGCCCAAGGCCACATTGTGGGGCGGAGAGAAAATAGCCTTGGTGACTCGTGCGACAGGCTGGCATTGTTGTGCAGGATCCTGGCGGGCCTGCACTGAGCAATACTGAGCACATGAAGCCTGGACACATGGCACGCGATCTTCTCCACCACGTCGGCCAGCTGCGGGAAGTCATATCCCACCAGAGGCTTTCCAGGCACGTTCGGGCACGCCACGTTCACCTCCACAGCGTTCCTGACGTCCAGTCTGTGGCCACAGCATGCCACAACAGGAACACATGGTTCCAGAAGAACTAATGAAACGGCACAAGGGGAACAAGGATGATGTCAAGCCGTGCTGCAGGTAGTGCAGGGTCTCGGGGTGCTTCACAAGCCCATCCAGCATGGATAGGTTCTCGTTCAGTGATAAACCAGAAATGGACAGGATGTACGGCTTGCCGCTGGGCACGGCGATGTCCTTCAACCTGCACAGCCGCAGTCTGCTGTTGCAGGCGAGCATAAATCTGAGTATCAGCTTGACAATCATAACATACCGTGATATAATCACAGTTCATGCAGCTGTTGGGTTCTCACACTTCCAATATCTTCCAATGACCTTTCAATATATCGGTATATCGCTCAGTAGAGCCTCGGTTTCGAAGGTCGTTTGAGTGTCGGCTTGGGAGACTCTAAGCTCTGCTTCCTGACGCGCCATAGCGGAGCAGCCGGCGCCCAGAAGCCGAGCACCCACTCAGCAGCACACCAACCCTGAGCAGAACACTCCGGCCTCCTGAGTACCGAGACATCCGTGTAGAGACCGATCCCAGCATTTGGCAATCCTTCCGAGTTGACCTCGGCATGTCCCAACTACGTCTCTGTCTACTGAGCAAGGCCATGAGTCCCAAAAACCTTTCGCCGACCCGAATAAGCTCCCCCCCTTGGGAGTACTTGGGAGCCCGGCGCTGCAACTCCCCGCTTCCCCTTCCAGCTCGATGTAGCGGGGATGCTCGTTGCCATCCCTGGGCTGCAGCGTCGCGCTTTTGGAGCACACGGCCCCAGACCTAGCACGCCCGATGAGAGCTTACTGAGAGCTTACTCTCTGCAAAAAATGAAGATACGTCTAACCATGTATGTATGTGCATTGTTGAAAGAACTGTCAAACCTTCATAACCATCCCAAGACTTCCCTAAACCCAAAGATGGTGTTGAAGGATCTCGGAGGGGCGAAGATCGCGCAATGTCGAGAAGCTGCTTCTCTGTGTTGGTCCGGGGACCACTCGCGTTCCTTAGGGCAGCGAGGTCGTGCTTGTGAACGACTGCCGGAAGCGCTCGGCACGATTCATCTCTGGCGGGAGGAGAATCCGCCAGAGAAAGCCCCTGGTTGTCTTTGCATTTCGTCTGGAAACTGGCTCCCACGAGCGCTCAGAAGACCAATCCTACATGTAAAGAGGGGGTTTGACCGAAGCTGCTCAACCCCAAAGCAGGTGGACCACCTGGAGTGGAGTTTTGAGAATCTTGTTTACTTGCGGAATTCGCCAAAGTGTTGCCGCCAGCTTTGGAATTTGCAGCTTCGGGTTTGTATGATACACCTCGGAGCAGGTTACGCTCTTGGAACATCTGAGCTTCGGCTCAGACCTGGGAGGCACCTGCAACAGAACCCCCCAGCAATCAGGGCAAGGCACAGGATGCAGCAGGAAAGATGCAGGCCAGCCAATGAACAGCCCAAGTCTGCTGTGGCCATGGCTGTGGTTCCCTCAGTCGCTTCTCAGGCAGCACTTCAAACTGGACTTGCAGAGGCTTCCGACTGTCCAGGTGCTGCAATTCCCTGTCGTCCGGGTCTAGATTTGTCTGCATTGCTTTGCTTTTCACTCCTGGTATCAACGCCTAAAGCTCAGGTTCCGAGTTCGAGTGATAAATGGCAAGCCATCAGCAATGCACCGATGCACAACCTCAACATTCCGAACCTTACGCCGTGCCCTAAACCCTAAACGCCAACCCGCAAATCGAAACCCCAAGCATCCCACCTCTTCGCAAGAGCGCAGTGATACAGTACGTGCAGTGGAGGCTCATAGGGTTTTGGGGGGGGGGGGGGGGAAGGTTCGGTTATGCGCAGTATAGGGTTTAGGTTCTCGCTGGGTTCTCTCTGTTATCGAAATGATGAAGCTGAGCCAGCAGATGCTGACAGCCATGTGCCTCACAAGCCTGGCGCAAGCCTATGCGGTCCGACCCACCTGCATCTTGAGCATCATTTCTGCCAGCCTGGAGGATCCCTGTCAGAACAACGTTTTCCACTTTCATGTCGCAGATCTCAAGCTTTCAAGGTATGGAAACCACATCTCTAGGTGAGAGCTCTTAGGGTCCTGGGAGATTTTCCGGGCATGCATTGGGGTGCTCTCACTGCTTTCTCTTAGAACAGCTGGGTGCAGCCGGTGCAGTGCAGACAACTTCAAGGCACTGATGGATGGCGCTTGTGCTTGACATTCAAAGGCGCTCCGAAACCGTCTAAACCCGAACGGCTGTCGCAAGGCTGCAAAGTCCTTGTTGTGGCGACTGTAGGCCCTGGGGTCTGTGTCTTCGTCTTCGTCGTCGTTGTATCTGGCTTCACACACCATAGCTAATATTCTAAAACGCCTAACGAGTGAGATTGCCTACGGCGATGCGGACTCTGAACACCAGCGCTGTGCAAAAAGGAAGCCTCGCAGAAGCGCTAGTTGTAACTGAGGATCCGAGCATCAGCCAAATCTGCACGTCATTGTCACGCAGGGCCACCTCTGAAAGCCGTGTATGAAAGCAGCAACCCATACCACGGGATCACCAAGTCTTAGTGGGCCCATGTTGGGTGACATTTTGGCGCTTCCAAGGCGAAGAGCGCACGCGCCTCAACCTCGAACACGTCGAAGGGAAATGTACTCATCTCCGGTGGCATGTCCTGGGCTTCGTCGCTTGCATGCAAGGACAGTTGTCTGAAGGACAGGCGAAGCGAAGCATGTTGAACGCATTCGAACACAGTAGGTCCTGGTTGTACATAACGTGGGTGGTGCTAAGTACATGCGGCGTCTCGGCCAGAATCTGGCATGGCGCAGCAGAGAGCAGTCAGAATGAGCGGTAGTGACAGCATGTGACGGCAGACGGGTGACGAGAATATACGAGAACAAAAGCACTTCTCACATGTCGGGCACAAACCCTGCGCCTGTTGGAACAGACAGCAGCCCAGTCCCATAGAGAACACGCTCACCTGTGCAACCTCCAGGTACCTGGCGGATGTGAGCAGGGTTTTCATCCGTTTAGCTGGCTACAGGGACTTGGAGGGTCAATCAACCCGTGTTCGTGTGTGTTGTACCAGTTGATGGAGGACCAGTCCGGAACACTGCGACGTTTGGCCCCTACGAGATTGCCGTGTTGATGCTCATGGAGGCCCATGATGCTCGTATTTCTTGGCTTCAGGCGGAAGAGGGCGCGGTGTCGGCGACTGTAGGCGGGGACTGTAATGATAAAATCAGGCACCACACGTTTTCGGACACCCACCCTAAGCCCCTGGTCCCCTGATTGCTGGCGTCGACTCGTGTAGTGTCAGACGCTGCTCTAAAAGGAAGGGCAGTCGCCGACACCCCGGACAAGTCATTCTCCCGTCTCTTCGAATTCTTCGAGAATGTACGACAAACGGTGGAGGATCCACTGCAAGGTGCCACGGAAAATTGCAGGACCTCGGCCCAGTGAGATGCGAACCTTCAAGTGTGGCGCCTGCATCGACATCTGAGGGCAAGACCGTACTGCATCCAGCGATGCTGACTGCTTCCCAGCGACGGTGTCTTGGCACTTCACAGCTCAAAGGGCTTTAAGTCAGAGCCAACCGGGGCCCGCAACCCGGGGCCGGCAGAATCTCCAGGAAGGAATGCAGGCTCCGGGTTCCTGGCGTCAATGATGATGACGTTGTACTCGTGCTGGTAGAAGTACCTTCCATGGTCCGGGCATGATTGTTCTTACCCCTGTGATCGCGCGTGCGTGTGGGGAAGGCGGAAACAAAGCCTGGCCGGAGTAATTCGTCTCACTGCGCGACAACCCGAAGCTGCCCTTTCGAAGTTTCATTCAGGATGCTCTGGCGTGCTCTTCAGCTTGAGAAGATCAGAAAGTTCTGATTTCAGGACTTCACTCCGCCACGATAACGCCACCCTCAGATTAATCAGCACTTGACCTGACTCGCACTGCTGAGGAAGTTGGGGCACACTGCTGGCTGGATCAGCTGGGCCCAGTGGGCTTCCACGTTTGCCACGTCGCCGATCATCAGGAGGCACTGCGCAAGTAGAGTGGCAGGAGTGTGAGAACTGGTAAGGAGCTAGAACACTCCTTGACCCTTAGGGTAAGGCCCATCCCCTGTCCCCTGACAGAGTTGTTTGCGAACACAGTGTGTTCGTGACCTTCTTCATCTTGAAGCGCTCCGAGAAGTTTAAGTAGTCGGCTGTAACACCTGCGAGTCGGCTCAGGCTCGGGGAGGTTTACGGGTTTTTGTGAAGCTGTGGGAGAGTCAGAGTTCCAACTGGTGGTCGCACCCTGGCACTCCACGATTGCGGGAGTGTCCATACCCTCATCTAAGGGTTTTATGAGCCTCCTCTGACCCTTTACCTTTGCTCCCTCCAGCCTCTGGAGTGACAGAGTGATCGGACCGTCACCTGTCAATGTCACTAAAGTGACTCGGGGCTCATGGCCTGTCTACGCCGGTCTCTTAGCTACGACTGGTAGAAACGTGCGCAGCCTCCGCCTGCAAGTCTCGGAGCAACGTCGTGTTCCGAAACCATTTGCTTACAAAAACATGGTGACGAGCGCGTGCACGGCGCGACTGCGCTTGTGCCCTTAAGAGCAAAAGCGGCTTGTCAGCAGCCACATAGGCGAGCTCTCAGAATTACGTCCCTTATAGGGACCCCCAAATTGACTCTGAACATTCTGAACTCCCGCTGCGCATATGTGCCTCTAATTTCATGTGCTCCTCCACGGCCACGAGGTTGTCAATGAACATGTCCAGGAGGAACTTTCGCTCCTCAACGATGCGAGCTTGTTTTGAGCGTCTCAACAGGATAAGGATTTAGCCTAGGCTGCATTGCTGTGCAAAAGGGTCTGGGGTTTCGATGGGGCAAGATGCTGCAATAGAGGGCCAGGACACCTCCAACTTCAAGCGCGTGTGCTGCTGGCCAATCAGAGTGACCCATCTGGTCCATTCAGTTTCTTGTCGAGGGCACGAAGCTCGATTGAAGGTTGGGCTTGCGCTTGGCGTTTTCACTACCAGGACTTCAGTCTACAGATTCGGGACTCCAGTTTCTAGCCTGGCTAGTATAGTTAACTCTGGACTTTGAGGGTCTAGTCTTCGAATCCTTTCGAAGGCTCCATCTGGTGGCCTGGCCCCAACTCTGAGGGCTTTGGGAACTTCTGGGGCTTTTAAGGACCCGAAAGCCTGAACACAGCAGACCCTTCCACCCAGTGTATGATGGCCCTCAAGCCCTTCTAAACCCCGAACCGAGGAACCTCCCCAACGTTCGCAGAATGCGCCTGTGGTCCGAGCTTGAGAGCGTCGGCATACTGCCTAAGCCAACCGCAATTGGGGCAATTTTTCGGGGGTTTAGGGCTTATAGGGTTTCTAGGGGGGAAAACCTCCACCAAAAAACCCTAAAAAGCCTAAATGAACACTACGTAAACCCTAAGCCCCATACCGGGGGTTTTTTTCCCCCCCCCCCCCCCCGGTCAGGAATCGGCCCTCGTCTTCTGTGCGCCAAGTGGCTTGAGAATTCCGAACTCAAGCTCTGGCCTGATGGGTGCAGGATGGGTTTAGGGCCTTTTTTTTAACAACCCTTCACTCCTTTTCGGGTGAGCGTTTAGGGCCGTTTAGGGTTTGGGGTTTTGTTAGGTTCAAGGCTTCGTGCTTTTCGGCTTTTCTGAGCCCCTCACAAGTCCCGCCTGAGGCGCTCTGTCACAAGAACGCAGCAGCCGGGGCCGAGACAAGATGTGGGTCTTCGTAGCATCCCGGATCTGAGATCAGACTGGGGGTCGACAGGCGTGAACTCCCGAAAACCCCAAAAACTCTGGGTTGCAGGCCGTACTTCTGCTGACATGGGAGAACTTCAGCACCATCGGAGTGAGTCCTGGCCTGTAGCGTGGCAAGGCACAACTTGTGTGGAGCCTGTGAGGCCTGTGGCCTTTGTGAACTGACTGGCGCCGGAGGGGGGGAACCTTGTCAACGGCGACTGGCTCGAACCATCGCCAAAGCATCGCACAAGCCGGTCACTGGCCGATTCTGAAAGGTATAAGTCTCACACTGCTACCTTCCCGTATGCCTCCTATTGGAATGCTCCCAAACCCTGAACTCATCTAGACCCTGAACCGCTGATACTTGTCCCCACCTTGGTGTGAGAGCTTGAGCCGCAGCCTTGCTCCAAAGAGCAAAGGGAATCATGTTCAGACCGGCGAACCGGACTTGGGATTTAGAACTTGGGTGTCTTGGGTGTTTCGGGGCTGGCCAGGGGTTAGTGCGATTTGATACTATGGCTTCAAGTCATGGACTCAGGATATGTGGCGCAATCTCGGTGGGCCCTTCAAGCCCTCAGAGAGAGGCAAGCCTCACCCACATCGGGTAGCTCAAGCTACAGCAAGAACGCCTTTTTGGGCGCCGGCCGTCTCCAGGCTCTAGCTTGAAACACTGGGTAGCTAGAACGCGATAAACCCAATAAGCCCAATAAACGCTTTAAGCACCGCCAGATGTAAAGAAAAAGGAGACGTCTGACATTCCGGAAGCCCCTAAGAACCCAGAATCTCCAAAGGCACCTTAACACTCCCCTAAACACGCCCCTACATCCCAGAAACGCATCCAAAGACCTAAACCCTGAAAACTCCCTGAACCTCCTGAACCTAAGATCGCCTGCTGAAGCACTCTCCCACAACTGGGATGCTTGTGGTAAAAGGCGCGGAAAAGCACGGCTTGGGCAACTTGAGGTTTATGGGTCTAGGGTTTCAAGGGTTTCAAGGGTTTCTGCCCAGGGCTGTTGAGGGGTTGCTGGGGGGCTTCATGAAGTCTGGGGCTTGGGTTGTGGGCTTGGCAGGGGGTGAGCACGCTGCAGTCATCCTGTGGTTGCCCAGCCCAAGCGGCTCTAGAATGCAATTCCCAAGCCAAGCAGCATTGGTGGTCTCATGTCACCGGCCCCCAGCCCCTAATGATGCGAACTGGCCGAGTAACGTACATGCCAAGACAAGGCACTGCAGCAAGCGCAGCCTCAAACAGCATTGCTGACTGCATTGAAAAATATTGGACAGCAGCAACTGCTGCACCGAAATTCGATCTGGAGATTCAAAGCCGCGGGCTTTTAACTTGTGCGCAGGGGAGAAGAAAAGGAACACCCGTTGGCACAGCAATGAGCTGCAGTGTGCACTATGCCGTTACCTTTGATGAAGGAAAAGTCATGACAGGAGTGGCTGCTTTACAAGCTCCCCCCCCGCTTTCACGCGCGGCTTTGGACGGTTTCAGGAGGTTGTAGGGGTCCAACGGTGTACTGTTGCAATCCGCCAAGAATGATGGCATTTGAGTACACGCATCGCTGAGCTTTGCTTGGCACTTGTCAGCGTACGCATGCATAATCATGCACATATGGCTGAATTAAAGATATAAAGGCACACAAAGGCCATAGGGCCACTGCGCAGCCTGCTGGGCCACCCAAGAGCAACCAGTCCGAGAACTTGAGCTCGGGTCTCTCTCGCTCTCTCTCTCCCAACAGGCTCCGTGGCCCTGTAACCTTAGAGGCTGAGTGAGCTTCACCCCTTCAGGGTTCTCTCCCTGCCTTAGGAAAAAACATAGGGCCGTGCCTGCTGTGCTCAGCCGGTCTCGTCCAGCGTTGGCAAGAATGAGGAGGTCCTTCAAAACAGAACAGAGGCTCTTGGGCCGCCTGAAGGGGCATGAACAGTCCGAAGGAGCGCAATGGCGATGGCCAACTCCACCGGACTCCCCTCCTCAGCCCCCCCTCCCAAACCGAAACTCCGTCCTGCTCCTCGCCGGGCTTTCGGTGGCGCTTGCGGCTGGGCTGCGCGCTGCGCTGACCGCTGGGCTCCGCATGGGGCTCCGCATGGGGCTCCGCATGGGGCTCCGCGCGCCCTTGCTGTCACGAGATCGGGGTGGCCGCAGGGTCGACTTGGCGGAACCTGGGAAAGGGTTAAGGCTTGTATGTTTTTTTTACCGGTTCCTTGGCGTTCCCATCCCAAGCGAGGACATCTCAGACACCCTGGTGCTATGCAATGCAAGCCTCAGAAGACCAGGAGTTTCTTCGAGAGCCTAAAGTCTAAAGCACCCCAAGCCCAGTTTGCCTGGAGTGCCTCCGCTGCCGAACGCTGTAAGGTGGAGCTGAGCACGCGCCTTGCAGGCTTGGTCTCGCTTCTTTGACCCCACATTGCTTTTGGGCAAAACAGCCAATGACGATAACTACAACTGACAACTACGCTGATAAGCTCAAAAACACTTTTCAAAACACAAGCATCCAGATTCTCGGATTGCATCAGAACCGAGACATGCACATCGAGAAGCGACGGCCTACCCCCCCCCCCCCCCCCCCCCCCCCCCCCCCCCCCCCCACCCCCACCCCCTCCCCCACCCCCTCCACCACCCCTCCCCCCCAACAAAAACAAAGAAACTTTCTGGGTATCCTAGCTATAAGAGGCCGTAGCGCAAAAGGGGCTCTACCGTTTAGAGAACTGTTCACTCATATACAGTTGCCTTCGTTGCTCCAGTCTGCAGAACAACAAGCCAACCCGATGAAGGACCGAGTCTGCGCTCTAGTGGCCATCGTTTGGTTCCCTCCGGCCTCCTTTAAGGCTGCCTCAAGCTGGGCGATGTTCTCCGGAGACACTGGGTTCTTCTGGATGTTCAGGGTCAGCCTTTCCAGATGACCCTAAGGAAGGGGAGAGGAAATCACGTGACCTGAAGCCCTCACAAATAGGCGGAAGGCCTAGGAAATCGTAAGCAGAATAAACTAAAAAAACGAAAACCACACGACCACTACTAAAGACTACTAACTACTACTGTATACAACTACGACGACTAGTACTACTGCTAGGGTGACTGCTCTTGTTGATGGACCACTGTGTAAACTTGCGAGCCAGCACACAGCACGTGGAACCGGTGGAACCGGAGCACCTCTTCCCGCACGAGGCGTACAAGCTCTCTGCCCCACTAGAAGCGATGGCGTTGTCCTGCGTAGAACCATGACAGAGAGGACCAACTTTGAGGGCATCTAAGCCGTTTGTTGAACGGCTTTGCAGACAGCATGGCGGGTGATTCAGGTTTTTGGGCCGTGCGGGGGAGGGAAGGGGGGAGGCTTCCCGAGCCCTGGCGTGATAGAATGCACTGCATGCTCCCTCCTGCAAATCCAGCTGCTCCAAGACAGGATGGCCCTCACAGGGACTCAAGTGCTTGATCAAGACCTTCTATCACGTTGACAAGCTCTGAGGAGGCATCTGCGAGCGTACGATTCTCACATCAGCTTGTTATTGACTTGCGCTTGGCAAAGTTGTGACACACCAAACTGGATCCAGCTTGCCCTGCCTTGATGGCTTTGGCTAGACGCGCAGCACCAGCATCGCCAATGCGGTTGTGTCTGCAGCCAATCGGAGAGAAGCTCTTGATTGGAACATTGGGAATTTTGCTCATGTCATGATGCAGCAAAACTTACGATCTGACGGAAAGAGGGAAGGCTCGAAGAATACCGAACACTAAACACCCCCCAAGTTCCCAAGCAGAGCCTCAAGTCCACATGTTGCAGCCGCGAGTGGCTGCGAATGATTTTGGCCTCAGCTGGCTTGTGCTTCCTTCAGGGCCTATGCTCCAAGTTACGCTGAATCGCTGCGCCGTCCTATCGCACTGCACGCGAATGGGTCGAAGCAAGAGGACAAAGGCCTCTCAAGCCGTGTCTCGGCAGCTTCGGAAATCTCGGGACGAGAGAACGCGGCGAACGGCGTCACCGTCACAGAATGCATCTCGAGTCATCTCAAGTTGTCAAAGATCTTGGTTCACTGCAGGTCGGCTCATGTGGATGACCCCCCCCCAATCCCCCGCCACAAACGAGAGCCCCGAAGCTTCCAAACCAGTAGCCTTCTTAGACTCGTAAAGGTAAGGGTAGCCCACGAGCACTCCATGAACTCCACTAAGCCATATGAGACGACGGTTTAGGGATGAGGGGTTCAGAGCTTAGAGTTTGGGAATCGCAATCGTACTTGTCATTTTCTCGGACTATGCGCAACATTGCTGCCAACGTAGTACAGGTAGAATAAATTGAAACTGCCCATGCAATCGCCACTTTTCCACGCAGCGCAGGCTGATGGCTGTAACTGCAACAAACTGGGAGAATACGAAGACCAAGGTGTGGTTTGGCAAAGAGTTCTGGGTTCGGGGTCCAGGAAAGCCCACAGAACCGTGCTGCGTTTTCAGGCTCATGCTTGTAGGTGCTTAAGTGTCAAGATTTTAGGGTTAAGGGTTAGGGAAATACGGTGTTTGTGTTTGGACCTGAAGGTTTGAGGGTCAAGGGCTTGCTAGTTTGGGGGGTGAAGGACCTACTGATTTGGTTGGCTGAAGGTTTTAGTGCTTCAGTCTCAAGATTGCAGGGTTCTGAGATTGTTAGTTAGGGTTAAGGACTGAAGTTTTTGGCGCACGCCCTAAGACTTCAGGGTTGGGGTGTTTGGGCTTGGTGATCAAACCTGACTGTACGGCTTGAGGGCTAAAAGCTGAGGGTCTTGGCATTTAAGTCTTACGATTGTAGTGAAGGGTCTAGGCCTTTGCTTAGGCCTGAAGATTACGGGTTCAGGGCTTAGGGTATTGGTGCTGAAGTCTTCAGGTTTTAGGGTGGAGAGTTTAAGAGACATTGGTGCTCAAATCTTACCTTTTTTTCGGGTTAAAGGTGTCTTCAGCGTTTGATGTGTTAGGCCTTTGAGATCACAGGCAGATGCGAGCTTAGGGAATCGGTGCTGGGCCTTAAGACTTTGGGGCTGACGGCTTCAGATTGTGGGAGTTTAGGGTTTAGGGTTTAGGGTTTAGGGTTTAGGGTTTAGGGTTTAGGGTTTAGGGTTTGAGGTTCTAACATCCGACCGCTGTCTCCATTCTCCCGGTCGCACAGTGGCCTGCTGCCCTGTCATGGCTCACCCCCCAGCGCCTGAATCCTCAGCACACGTCGGAGTCTGGGCCCCAATGTGATTGAGGCCTCGAGGGCTCGAGAGAATCTGGGCTTAAGCTACGCCGTTGGGAGATCCTGGACTTTACAGCTATCTGCTTAGCTTGAGCATGATGTCCAGCCCATTTTCAACTTTTGTTTCAACCACAAGCCCAATCATCAAGTCGCAGCCGCTTCCAATAGATCCCCGTCTGATGCGAGGTCTGCTCATCTCTTGCGGTGCCTGTGCTTGAGGTTCTTGGGTCGGCTGAGAGGCAGTAACAAGTAACAGCATCCAAGGCTCTGCTGGATGATTTCGGCCTCTCCGTCGAGCTTCTGCTTCTGCAGTGGATCGATGGGAGCTCCTGTTGCGACCTGATTCGATGGATGGCAGGCTAAACGCCAACGCAAGCAACGCATACATCACGGGTGCTGGGGCAGCGCACCTTCTCTTTCAGCTTCTCGATGTCCCGCAGCTTCTTCCTTGGCCCAGCAAGTCATAGCAAGTCATGCCCATCCAACGCACACTTTCCGCCTACAACGCTGGCGCCCCCTGAACAACCCCAAACTCCCCTGATTCTCCCCTTTTATTGCAACTCTTGGTCATGACGGGCGGCTTTAGAGCGCGGACCTTCTTCTCAACCTCGTCACCTGGCACAGGGGAAGTGAGAGCAGTTCACAGGATCAACAGGCTTTCAAGGATCGACATGATCGATACCCTATCGGATAAGAAAGCAAAGGGCTTAAACCCCATTCATTAGAATCCTATACTCTCTCTCATACAGCCCCTAAAACGAGAGCTTTACTTTGCTCATCTGGGGCTCCCAGGATCCTTCTAACTCTGGCTCTCTGAATTGTGTGCCCTGTTTGTGCAGCCCCTCGTTACAGATTCTCTGCTGGGTGTAGGATGGCCAGGCGAACTGAAATCAATTTCTTCGCACAGCTGCAAGGACGCTGCGGCGGCAATTCCAGGGCCCCTAATGTTCCACCCTCCCCGCGGCAGGAACTTCATTTCAAGCAGAGCCGTCCTTTGCAGGCCGGCTTCCCAAAGAAAAGCTTCTTGAATCCTCCCTATCCCTCAGCCCGATTTCTCAAGCTCCAAGCCTGAAACCAGGGGTGCCCCCTTCTGGGGGTTTTTATGAACAGGGAAGGATTATTCGAAACAAGAGCAGGTCATCTCCCTGCCTCCGGCTTCTGAGGACTGAGCCGCAGCCGCTTCTGGCGCCGGCTTTGCGTCGCCTGCGGAGGGCACGAATCCAACGCGCCAACTGCAGCTCGACGGGGTGGAGGCAACAACGCCAAGAATGCCAAGGGGGCGTTTAGGTTGTTTATAGGATTTGGGGATGTGGCGCAAAGTCGGAGAAAGTCCAAATCCTTGAGCAAGCCGACAGCATGTATAATGCATTTCTACTCGTGGGTGTCGGTCCGTGAAGAGTAGGGAGGGGCCCAGGTGGACAAGATGGAGACATCAAGAAAAATGTTGGTCGGAGTCCTGAAATGGCCACCCAAGGACCCTCAACTAGAACACCAAACAGACCTATGAATTTGGGGCTCAAAAGACTTATGGGCTCGTGTTATGGGTTGTTTGGGCCTTGTATTTTGGACAAAGTCAACCCTATGTTGGGCCGAGCGTAGTGCTTACAGGACCTGCTCGTGCTGTCTGGGTCTGCTTCAGTGCTGTGCTTATTCCACGGCTCAACCTTTGGAAGGGTGGCATCTTAAAACGTACAGTCGTCTCACGCATGCAAGAAGAAACACTGATCGAGACTCCTGCACGCGGAGGTGGCGCGAACTTCTCCGCACCAGGTTCTGGCCCTGCCTGCGGTCGTTGTTCGCTTTTTTCCCGTTGGCAACATGCACGCAGCTGCATTACAGAAATCTCATGGCAGCAGTGCACATGACCGTGGACTACACATCATCGCAGGCAACCTCGGGTCTTGGGGTAGTTGCAAGGGCCGCCGTTGTCTATACCCCTCCCTCTCAGACGCCAAGGGCCCATACTTCAGAACCCTCTAAATCGGGTCAGGGACCATATCCGAAAAAATGTAATTACACAACCCTAGACCCGGAAAGCTCACCCTGAGGTTTGCTTCAATCGGCTTACCTCCGCCTGCGCAGCGGCCTCTTTCGCCTTCGTTCACAGCATGTTGGGCACTGGGTGTTTCGAGGCGCTTGGGACTAAAGCCGCTGTGGCGGGGTTGAGGGTGCAGGGGAAGGGGGATTGGAGAAGTTTGGGTTTCTTTTAAGTTGGTTTTGGATGTTTGGAGCGTCCGGGGGGGAAGTAGATCCGGAGACTAATTTCTTAAAATCTCAACCTCCGTAAACCCCAAAGCCCAAAGCCAGGCCTGATTTAAGAGGTTTTCGGGTTCTGGGAGATGTGTGGACGGCCCTAGCCCCAACATTCAAGGCCTGCACAAGGTAAAGAACATGGATGCAAATAATAAAGTGAGTTTGGATGACGGTTGAGTCGGTTACACGTGTTGGGAGCACACCGAGGGTGGGTTGGGAACAGGGGCAGGGAGTGTCGGCAACGGGGGAGGTGTTTGTCGGGAATGCACCGACAGTGAGCCGAGAACGCAGCCCATGTGTTGAGCACGGACGGGGGTCGAGTTGAGAACGTTTCCCACCCAGAACTAGGTTGTGGAGTGACGACCGTGACGACCCCACTCTTGATACTTCTTTAAAGTTCTCTTGAGAGGACTTGGACTTAGGTATTCAGTCTTCTTTTGAGTTTCCTCGGTGGGAGTTTAGAGGGTTTGTTGTTTCGGATAAACAAGAAACCCTTCAAACAATCCGACGACGCTGCTGCTCAGAACCAGAGCCAAACCGGGGAGGTTTGACGTCAACACGCCGAGCATTCTTTCGGCTCCTCGGAAGATGTGGAATTTATAGAGTAACTGTCTACTCCTCTCTGATTCTCGAATAATGAACAAGAAACGAGGGGGTTGAATTTAGAATGATTCTCTACTCCTCTCTGATTTTCGAATGATGAACAACAAGAAACGAGGGGGGGGAGGGGTGGAATTTAGAGTAATTACTCCTCTCTGCTTTTTGAATAATGAACACAAGACACAACACCAAGAAACGAGGGAGGTTTTTTTCAGATTCTTTTCGATCAAGAAAGGTCCTTGGAGGGCTGGCAACAACAAGCAAATGGGGGGATGGGCTGCCCCCCCCCCCCCCCGAACCCACTTGCTTTTTGGGTACGTCAGAAAAGAATTTGTTGTTTTGCAGAGTATAAACTAGAATCGAGAGGGAACTTTAACTAATTCTCCACTTCTTCTCTAATTTGCGAATACTGAACACAAGAAACAGAAACAAGAAACGAGGGGGTGGAATTTAAGTTAAGTCTCGAGTTCGGTGTTTTGGGCTTGTAGTTCAGTGGTTCCGAGTTTATGGAGTTTAGAGTTCCGTTTCGTGCATTTTAAGGCCTAACGCCAAAAAGAATAGATTAGGTTACATGCCGGGGGGGGGGAGGGGTGTGAAGACCTGTTGACTGCCTGAAAAGCATAAGAAGCCATTCCCTACACTGATCTCCTTCAGAGCTTCTGCATCACAGCAAGCCCGCGAGGCCCCTCAAGCGACTCCCAATCCCTCTCAACTTGCGTGCCTTCTTTTTCCTGGCGTTGCGGCTGCTGCCGGTGCCAGTGCTGGCTTGAGCCCCCTGCAACGAGGCGGAAGCGCAAAGCCGAAAACCCTGAGGGCTTACAGGGCTAATCCCCGGCAGCCCTGTAGGGTTGAGCGGAGATCTGAAGGGAAAGATCGTAGAATTCTGAATGCTGCTCTCGTCTGGTGCGAGTGCGATTCTTGTTGTGGGATGAGGGCTTGCTCCCTCCCGCGTGCCTTTTGAAAGTCTTCGGGCGAAGCTCCCGGTGGCAGGGAAAGTGGGGCAGCTGATGGCGCGCCCACCTGAAACACGATGAACATGACGGCGAGGCGGCGAGGCCAGGGCTGATCTCTGCAGTTTCCCACTCGAAGCCCTACACGATTTAATCGAGCTGCAAGCGCCTATGTAGCGTCCAAAGACTCGCGCACTAGACCGACAAGAGGCACCAACTTGCTCAACCTTGTTCTGATCCCTGCGTAGCGCTTTCGGAGGCCTTTGTGGCTGTCTTGGCTGCATCAGCCGACGTGGAGCCTAGCTCCTGTGGAGAACGAATCGGGAGCGGGCTTTCTTGACGGCTTCTCCTCAACAAATGCTTGTCAAACACATGTGCTTGGAGCTGGTTCGGGGTTTGGGTTCAGGTCCCTAAAGGTCGCGATTTCTGGTTTGCCAGGTGATGCACAGTGTTATATGCCCATGGATGGCTACAGTCAAGCAGCGTTGCAAGAACTCCAGACACTCGGGCCACTAAGGGTGTCTCGATCATCTGTGGCCTAACATCCCCCACAACACCGAGTCAAGCTAGCACATCCATAAAGAAGTGGGACCCCTTCAAACTCCCCAAATCCCTGGTAGAGGCTGTGTTGACCCACGAAGACCCCCAACAAAAAGCTGCCAAACCTCAAAACCCTGGACCCCTTTACCCGCCTAGACCCCAAAACTCCAATAGCCCTCCCATAGCACCTTGCGCAGAAGGTCAGCAAGGCCGCCACCAGCCCGAGCGCCGGGCGGTCTGCAGGGCTATCAGATTCTGGGTTTTTGGCTTTCTTGCGGGGGTTTCAGGGTCTCGGAGGTTGGAGGGGATTGCTGCAGACTAGACCCCGTTCACTTCGAAAGAAAGCATCGATGATGGGATTTAGGGCTGCGAGGGTTCAGGATTTAGGGTTTATGGTTTCAGGCTTGGGGTTTAGGGCCTGCAGGGCTCGACAGATTGTGCGTGTGTGTGTGGACCCTGGGAGCTGCTGCCCTTGCACAGCATGTCGACTCCTTCTTTGGGACGCGAGCCTATGGAGGCCTCTCAGGGCCCAGTGCAATCCTGGCAAGAATCTATTGAAGATGTGGATAATACACTTAGAGTAAGGGAAGAGGGTCTGCGAGCAGCTGCTAAGGGGCAAAAACTGGCCTGTAGGCTTGGGCTGCCTTCGGCTTCGCTGCTGCCTGAACCTGAAATGCACACGGAGACAGGGAGCAGCTCCAGATCACGTGTAGCGGATGGAGACCAGGTGCTCCAAAGGCAGTAGTGGGCCAACTCAAGCTGACACTGCCCCCCCCCCCCCCTCCACAACCGCAAGTCTCCCTCGGCCTTCGCTGCTGGCGCACTCCGGCCCGGACTAGGGGCCCTGTCCTGCTGTCGGAATCTCTTCTTCGGGGCTCTGGCTTGGGTAAAGTTGGCCTTGTTCTTGGCTGGGGACTGAGACGCAAACAAACCCTCCAGCAAACGAAAGAAACGATGCGAGGCGGTCCTGTCAGGTTTGGAGGGTCCACACTCCCTTCCCTTCCCTGCCCTTTCCTTTCTTTTCCTTTCTGCATGCATTGTCACCGAAGTGGCCGCCCCCGAGGGGCGCGAGTTCACCGGTCTGAAATATGTACACGTCACACACATGCGCAAAAGCACACACACACATTCCGTCCATTTCCCTCGCTGCAAAGGCCACAAACTTGCCCAGCCGAACACTCTGCACCACAAAACATGCTGGGGGGAGGGGGGGGGGGTCAGATTCCCAAAAGCTTTCAAAGGCCGCTCCTGGAAAGCCCCCCGCGGCCGAGGCCGCCAGCCTTCCACTTGCAGGCACTCCCGCAGATGGGCAGAGGCTTCACTGACTTCACTGGCTTCACTTCCCTCAACCCTATGAAAACCTTAAACCCTAAACCCCCAAGCCCCCAAACCCCGAATGAGCACATGCCATGATTTAGGTGAGGCCGCCAAATGATATACACATGTTTCTGTGCGTGTCTGCCTTCGCCTACTCTGTCAGGGCTCAGGGCAGTAAGAATGAGGATTCTCCTTGGAGACTCGATACATGCATCTAGTATATATATATATATAGATATAGATATAGATATAGATATAGATATAGTCACATGACGAACCCCCCCCACCCCACCCCCCCACCCCAACTCCCACCCACCCCCACCCCCAGCCCCCCATCCCACCGCCCACCAACCGTCCCTCCCGCCACCCCCCCACCCCGCCCTGCTATTTTTTCCTGAAGAAAAGGAGATTCTCCGCCCCCCCAACCCCCACCCCCCACCCCCCCCCCACCTCCCCCCCATCACCCCCACCCCCACCCCCCCCAATGCTTTCACAGTACAGGCCTGCCTGATCACCCCTCACACTTGCAGTGCATGCCCAACCCTCGCGCCCCCACCGCCCTTAGCGCCCTGCCCCTAGCCCCAAAGATATGAATTTCGGTTTTATACAGATATAAAAAGAGAAAAGATAACTAAAAGATATCTCCTTTTGTCTACCAAAAACTCATTATCCGCCGACCCCAGCGGGAGCGGGACCCCATGGCCCTAATGGCTTCATGGCCCCAGCGCCCCAGGGCCCTACCCCCATGATCCCATGATCCCAGCCTTCTACCATAGACGCTAAGCTGAGTTTTAGGCTCCAGTGCGACCGCATGGCCCTCTGGCCCCATGGCTTCATGGCCCCAGCGCCCCAGGGCCCTATCAGCTCCCCGCCCTCTCCGCCCACTCCAACCGCTTTTCATGGGCCCAGCGGCCCAGGGCCCTGCCTCCATGGTCCCATGGCCCCAGCCTTGTACCATAGGCCCTAAGCTGAGTTTTAAGGGCAGTGCATGCCCGCTTGCCGCCCACTCCGACAGCTCCCCATGACCCTCTGACCCCATGGCTTCATGGCCCCAGCGCCCCATATGGTCCCATGGCCCCATGGCCCCAGCCTTCTACCATAGAAGGGCTGCAGTGCATGCCCACTTACTCGCCCTCTCCGCCCACTCCGACCTCTGGCCTTATGGCTTCATGGCCCCAGCGCCCTACCCCCATGCCGAGTTTTTTGGCTCCGGCGCAGGCCCGCTTGCTCCACTACCGCCGCCCTCTCCGCCAGCCAGGGTTAGGGCCCCCAGCCCCAGCCTTCTACCATAGGATCTTAGCTGAGTCTTAAGGGGTCCAGCCAGGAACCAAAGACCCGAAACTGAGTTTTAAGGGCTGCAGTGCATGCCCGCTTGCCCCACCCTCTCCGCACTCGAGTTTTTTGGGCTCCCCACTGCTCCCGCCCTCTCCGCCCAGGGCTAGGGCCCCCATGGTCCCATGGCCCCAGCCTTCTACCATAGGATCCAAGCTGATTTTTTAGGGCTCCAGTACATGCCCACTCGCTCACTCTGACCCCATGGCTTCATGGCCCCAGCCCCTACCTCCATGGTCCCATGGCCCAGCCTTCTACCATAGGCCCTAAACTGAGTTTTAAGGGCTCCAGTGCATGCCGCTTGCTCCACTGCCCCCGCCCTCTCCGCCCACTCCGACCGCTCCCCATCCATGGCCCTCTGGCCCCATAGTGGCCGCAGCGCCCAGAGCCCTAGCCCCATGGTGCCATGGCCCCAGCCTTCTACCATAGGCCCTTTTTAAGACCTCGCTTGCTCCACTCCCCCGCCCTCACACTCCGACCGCTCCCCATGGATCCATGGCTTCATGGCCCCAGCGCCAGGGCCCGACCCCCCAGTGCAGGCCCGCTTGCTCCACTCCCCCCGCCCTCTCCGCCCACTCCCCTCGCCGCCCACTCCCCATGGCTTCATGGCCCCAGCGCCCCCGGGGCCCTACCTGAGCCTTCTACCATAGGCCCTAAGCTGAGTTTTAAGGGCTCCAGCACAAGCTCCACTCCCCCTCGCCCTCTCTGCCCACTCTACATGGCCTTCTGGCCCCATGGCTTCAAGGCCCCAACGCCCAGGGCCCTACCCCAACTCCCCCCACCCTCTCCGCCCACTCCGACCGCTCCCCATGGCCCTCTGGCCCCATGGCTTCATGGCCCCAGCGCAAGCGACCAAACGGTCGACGTGACCCCTAAACCCTGAACCCTAAACCCTGAGCCCTGAACCCTAAACCCTTAACCCTCAACCCTAAGCGACCAGACAGTCGACTTTAAAACCCGACGCGACCAGACGGTCGACTCAACCCTATACCCTGAGCCCTAAACCCTAAACCCTACACGACCAGACGGTCGACACAACCCTATACCCTGAGCCCTAAACCCTAAACCCTTAACCCCGTGCCGTTTTGGGGTCGGCGGCACTGGCGGTAGCCATTAAATCGGGCAGCGCGAGGTCCCCAAAGGACCGAGCAAATGCGGACCTTTTAGCCCGGGTCGTCCCGGGAATAGCCTTGCTGGCCTCTGGCCTTCTGCGAAGCAGAATTAGGCCGGACGCCAGTGCCGCCGACCCCCGCGTGCCGCCGGTGAACGGTTTTTTTTTCGTGGTTTTTTGCGTCGCCACGGAGGCCCCCAGAGGGCGCGCATCATGAGCATCAGCGGGTCCAGCCCGGGACCCCCAGGCGCGCATCAGGAGCATCAGCGGCTCCCGGGGCGGGACCGCGGGGGGGCATCAGGAGCATGATGCCCCCCAAAGGGCGGGCATAAGCGACGTGTCTAAGCCCGGGGCTAGGAAAAAGGGAGTTTAGGGGCCTTATAAAGTGCTTAGAAACGTTAAGGGAGTCTAGGAGCCTCAAACGCTTAGAGATTTGAAGGGAGTTTAGGGGCCTGAAAATGCTTAGAAACTTAACGCTTAGAGATTTTAAGGGAGTTTAGGGGCCTCAACATGCTTAGAAACTGCTCGCCCCGGGCTTCTGCGTGCGCTGCCCGCCCATGGGCGCAGCCCCTTAAATTTATTGCTTAAGACATCCTGCTCCCTGCGCCTGCAAGGAGCAGCTCATCGAACTCAATCCTGCCCAAGGGGGCACCGAGGTAATCGAAGACTTCGACCTTGTTGTCCACGCGCATCCTCCGCAGATCTCGCTCTATCCAGGATCACTTCTCTCTTTGCTTCTTGGTGAGCTTCATGAAGCCGGTGTCTCTTTGCTTTCGTCTTGCTTTCCAGGGTGTCGTATGAGGGTCTGAGAAGTGTAAGTATACTTTTGTATAGTATTTTGAATATACATATCTACACATACATATACAATAATATAAGCTAATACAATATACACAATTTTTACATGTATATGACATAACATATACTTATCTTCTACTATACATATCTACACACATGTACAAGACTTGGAATAACAGTAAGAATATTGTACATAATGTAAAGGCTTCTCTTCTGGGGTGGGCCCATAAGTCACGTTGTGGTGGATCTCCTGGGCGCGGTGGTGGCAGTGAGGAAGTGGCGCCCATCTGGGGCCCAGCCGCAAACCACACAGCACCTCTCGTGGGCTCCCGGGGACACCCTCTTCGCGTATACTTGCTTGTACCACTATACTACTTACTACTTATGCTGTAGTTTGATATTGGTGTATTGGAATCGTATTGTCCGCCGACCCCAGCTGGAGCGGGGGCGGCGTCGGCGTCAGTGAAGACCCATCGCTTCTTCTTATTTTGCCAACCCCTAAACCCAAACCCGAGTTTCAGTTTTCAGACGGCCAGGCTGGCCCGCGCCGCAAGGCCTGTAGATATCACATGATGCAAATTGGATATTGTTTTGTACCTCAGGGCTTAAGCGGCTTCAGAAAGTCGGAGTCCAGCAGTGCTCCGAGTCCGCCACTCCATGCGTCGGCTGCCCATGAGCTGCCTTGGTACGCAGGTTCAGGGTTCAGGGCTCAGGGTTTAGGGTTTAAGGGTTTAGGGTTTAGGGTTTCCTCAGCCGCGTCTGCAATCTTGGACGAGATGCTTTCCAGGCTTATCCCAGAAGTCCGTGTCTCCGAGCCTGACAAGAAGGCGACTTCGGACCTATCCGCATCTTTCGGCTTCATCAGCTGCTACAAGAAGCGGTAAACACAGCCTTCTCCTGGTGAATTCCAGGTAATGCTTGTAGTTTAGGGGTATGAGGGTTTCGGGAGTACTTGGTATACGGGTTTATAAGGCTTAAGGGAAAGTGGATGTCGCTTTGGGAGGCACCCAGCAACCTAATCGACGAAAGAATGATCGCCGCCAAGTGTCATGCTCGCAAAGCCAGAAACCCTAAACCCTAAACCAGATCGATTGGCTCGGCGTTTTTGTTGGTCAGGGCCGCCCTTGTTCTGTGATCGTGGCCCCCGTTTCGTGATCAAGAATATACAATTCAGCTGAGAAGCAGCTGTCCATAGCCACCGAGCACGAAGAAACGTCCAAATGGGTTCCACCTTCGCAAAATTTCGCAAAGGTCTCTGTGACAACTGAGGGCCTCAGGGAGCTCTGGGAGGACGCGCCTGATGGTGTTGCGATGTCCTGTGCCAAAGTCCATGCGCTTGTTGCCCTGCCGTCAGGTCTTGGGCTCAGGTGGATGAGATGAGCACCGGAGCTGTGGAGATCTTGTCTGGAGTAGTATTGAGGAAGCGATGTAACGGCTAGGGCCTATTGGAAACAGGTGGAACCAGAAGGCTAAGCAGTGGCTGTGGCGGGGCGGTCTTTCACGGCTGATGGCAAACACGCGACCTTGCGCCCATCGTACAGTCCGGCTGGGCATGGAAGCTCTCCATGCAGCAGAACGAACTCGTCCTCAACACGCGCAGAAATTCTTTAGTTCTTACGTCGGCATCCACAACTCAGTCACCAAGTCAAAGCTCCTAGCATCGTTGAACAAATCCTTGCATCGCTACATTTCACCGAGATCTATCTGTGGCACCCTCAGTCTCAAACCTTACATACAACCCTAGCAGTATAAACCCCGAATCCCAAAAGTAGACCAACTCTGTGTCATTTTGCATGGTCCTGAGTCGGGCTCCACTGGGCATCGTGGATGGGACCACCGTCAGCGGATGCTACCAGGGCCGACTGCGCAGCAGGCAAACGCTTCTAGGACGTGGGATGGGATGCTGCCGGACTTACCACTGTAGATGCTTCCAAGAACAGCCCGGACTCCTGACAACCATGATATCAAAATTGCCATTCGGAGGCTGACCGCAAGAATCCCAAGCTGACCAGCAACATGACTTGCCTCTTCACCATCTGCCCGCAAAAAGTAGAGATTGGCACCACCATAGTAGCTCTTCCCAGTGTCGTCCACCTCCGAGGAGCACATTCCGCCATGAGCGGCAGTTTATTCCTGTAAAATATTTGCTACATGAGCAACATATCCAAATACCGAATGATAATTCCCAACTGTTCTGTTCATACACTATCCCATTATTCCACTGTTACATACTCGTGAGTACATTCTTACACTATTACAGTATTACAATGGTTCATCACTATATTGTTTTATATTCCTGTGTGAATATCATTATACTAGCTTTTATCGTGCAGTATGACATTGTTCTTTTCTATGAAAAGAATTTTACAATATTCTGAGTTGTATGATGAAAGTAATTCTTTACACAAATAGGAATATACAGACTATCAAGCTATCTTGACATATCATTCTACTAATCTACTACCATAATACCAAAATTATAGTACTGATATGTTGTTACATCAATATATTGTTAGACTATTGCAGTTCCACACTTCTTGCTTTGTTATACTCTTCTACTATTTCTCCTCTTCTGTTCTTCTGTTCTGACATTCTCCTGTTGGCTCAGTCGTCGGTGTCAATGCAGCAGATGTGCACGGCTAGAAACTCCCAAGTTACCAAGCATGTGCCTTACATAGCATATTCTCATCTTCCCAAATTATCCAGGCCAAGTAATTTAGGTTTCTTGTTGCGGCTCTGGCTTTTCTCAACGCCCTTATGGGTTCTTTTCTGCTTTTCTTCGATACCCCGGCTTGGCCGGGACTCGAAAACCGTTCGGCTCCGTTGGGCTTTACCCTCGATCCACCGAAAAGACGAGCGCTGAGACAATTGAAACAATCCCAGCAAGAGAGGCACAAAAGCAGCCTTGAGGGGCCCCGCTGCTTGTAGTACTCGGATCACCTGGACACGTCATCGGCCGCCCTTCAATGTCGATTCCCGTGACCATCTGTGTCCTGCACGCACGACAACTCGCTTGCGAGGGCCGTGATACTGCTTGACAGTTTGGTAGCGTATATGGGCAGGGCGTCAGGACCGGACACAGTCCACAGGAGCGACGGCATCGTTGCATGGCCTCTGCCGTTCCAGCTGCAGAGTACTGCCACTGTGTTTCAGCTTGTGAACAGTCATCGCCTACCCAGGTATCGCAGAAGTAGCCCTTCTCATCGATGTACTGATCGTCATCTCTGCAGTCTGGATCAACGCATCCACAGGCCGTTGCACTTGAGGCACTTGAGGCATCCGAGGAGCATGTCGACTCTGGTCCGGCTTCCTTTCTAAGGGCTTCCAAGCGGCACTCGCTTGTGTCCAGCGACCGGCATGTCTTTGTCATGTCAGACACCTTGCAGGCAAGGTGATCCCAGTAAGGCTTCGACATTATGCCGGATGGCTTTGCAATAACGTTAAAGTCCATGCACGTCACGCCAAGCAGTCCAGAATAGTTTGAAGAACGGGCATATGCTGGCAAGCACGCCGGCCACAAGTTCTGACCGGTAACCACATCCGTGTAGCTCGTAAACGACGGAATGCAGAGTTCCTGGCCTGGCGTTCAACAACCATCAATTTCCATTTCTCTAACCCCTGCAAACGGTCGTGTTGGAGTGAACTTGCAAGCTACAAGAATAGCATCTTAACCGAAGATCCACCGCTTGGGGGGGCAATTTGCAACACGGCCTGAGGCATAGTAGGAATAGTATCCCGACATGATACTCGCCAGATCGGCTCCGTCTGGCACAGGATAGAAAACCCCTCGGTTCTCGCAGGCCAGCCGCTTTGTGATGGTCTTCTCCGCTCCAGTTCCCAGCGCATAACTGAAAATCGTCGTGTCGTAGCCTCAGTGACCATGCAACATAGCCACAAAACGGCTGATCTGATCTCCGCTTTAAAGAACCTGCTGTTGCCTGAAGATCTACATGAGTCTACTTTGCACAATGGCTCCTCCAATTTGTTTGTCGTCTTGCATGGCTACCCGTGCTCAAGCTTAGTCGGCGACGCAGTGACAAACTAGCTGTGCTCGCGAAGTCCGACTCGTAGTACTCTGCCTCGCCATCCGTCAGGAAAAGGATGGCCTTTTGGCACATCGCCGTGTTGCCAGCGCTGACGCTCCTGCGCAAGGTCTACTGCAGGCGGTAGATGGCGGCAGGCATTTTTGGCTCCAGAAAGCAACTTTCCCCAAACAAATACTTGAAATTCGCCTTCCTGCCGCCCCACCCCCCCATCCCCCCCACCCCCGCATTGGGCCTCCCGCTGCCAAGGCGGCGCACACAGGCGGGTACAATCACTAACGCTCCTAACATGAACATGCTAAAGACACAACCCTAAAACCCTAAAACCCTAAAACCCCAAAACCCTGAAACCCCTAAAACCCTAAAACCCTAAACCCTAAAACCCTAAAACCCCTAAACTATAAACCCTAAAACCCCTAAAACCCAAAAACCCTAAAACCCTAAAACCAATAGTTACTATAGGAGTGGGTTTCCTTTGTACGTCTCTCTCTTCTGTCTGTCGTTCTTTGTTCCAATACCTCTCCAAACTGGTCTTGGATCTACCTGCAGCTGCAGGTAACGCTGCACTCCTGGCGATCGTGTTAAAGGCCGCCGTCAGCGCTATCTTGAAGTCCGTTCCACCGGTTTGCCAAGACTGGTCTTCAAGCCAGGTCTTCATGCTACTTCTCCGTGAGGCGCTCATGGGGACGAGGTGGTCGGAGTACTGGGCTGAGACTCCATGGTTGAAGAGGATTATGGACCCGTAGTCCCTCCACTCCAAGGTATCGATGACTGCCTGGGCGGCTTGCTGAGCCAGCTGCCAGCGTAGGTTGCTTCCCATACTGCCGGAAACATCAACCACGAGAAGCACATCCTTTGGCCCAGTGGAGCCCGAGGCGAACCAGGGTCGGAACCGGGGGTCGTAACTTGAACTCGGGCACCAGTCGATGGCCGGCCAACCTGCATAGCTTCCTGTTGCCATGTCTGCGAAGTACTGGTAGCCCACTCGGTCATTGGGCTGCCCTTCCTTTGCGCCGATCCGGCTGTAGCTCTCGGCAAGAGACCCAAACAGACAAGACAGGAGAGAACTCTCACGAACACTTGACCCAGGCCTGATCCATGCAGCCACTTCGCTGAAGTCGACCTTTCCCTTCCACACATCATTGTAGACGCACTCTGCACATGGGCATTGGCGAATGTAGCTGCAATCCTTCAACGGGTCAATGCTCAAGAAGTCTTCCTCTAGAGTGTTGCGCGTGCTCCACAGGTAGTCCATCACGGCATCAAGCAGCACCGTGACTTCAGATGCATTCGCCTCGCCACCCTCATACGCAGCAACCCAGCCAAGGAAGTCATTGGAGGTCTCCCCACAAGTGCCGTAGCTGTAATACACATTCGAATTGGGGAACATAAAGCTCCGATGTGTTTGAAAGCCAGTGCACGTCCCAGCATCTACATAGCACCAAGAGTGCAAGCACCAATCTGGAGGAGTGGCCACGTTGCAGAAAGGTGGCAGGTCCTGGTCGTGTCGCTTGCACTCCAGGTTCCCATAGTTTGTTGGATAATTGTATGGCGTGGATGTCCCAGGCGGGGTGTAGACAAGATGCCCATCTGCCACATAGTTGTCAAGACCAGACCACTCAATGCATGGGCAGCTGGATGCCCCAGTAGGGTTGAAGTCTGCAAATGCCGGTGCAAGCAATGCCAAGAGGCACTTCTTCATGGCGGCTCTCGCTGCTTGGTTGGGGTATGTTGCGGTTAAGCAGCGTGAAGCAAGATTTGGACATACTGCGTGGGCTTTAGTTCAAGTTGGCTCCCCTCGCAAGAGTATGCAGTAGGACATGGAACGTGGAACGTGGAACACGTGCATCGAGCAGCATGCAGTGACGGCAGCTGTCGCCTCCATGGCAGATTTTACCAACACAGCGGTGCCAACGTTGTTCCACTTCATGGTGACCTCAACTCGTTTCGGGAGGAGGAGCGGGTACCGGGCGAAAGCCGCACTGCAAGGCTCTTGATGGCTTAGTGTTGCGGGCGCTGCAGGGTTGGGCGTTTAAAGGGAGCTTCATGCGCTTCAGGGTTTGGAATTGCTCATGGGCTTGAAGGATTGCAATGGCCTCGGGTCGTCCGCCCCCTTTTGCACAAAGAGGGACGCTCTACCTGAGGCCAGCACCGTCTGGGCCTGGCCGTATGACAGCAAAGCCTATACAGTGTTCTCTATGTCACGCAGTAGATAAGCAGATGTGCCAGGGATCTGCATGGATCAGCGACAAAGGCTCCCAGCAATGCTGGAGATGCGCAGCCTCTTGCACCATGGACAGCCAGCTACGCGGCCAAGACATATCACATCCACCCTGAAAAAAAAAGAAGCTCCTCCCAGATTGTCACTAGGGTTGAGGACTTTCGGCTTCAAGAGCTGCGGATCAAATATGTGGACGCCCAGAACTTTAAGGTTTAGGGTCCAGCAGCCTTGCCTTGAAGAAGTTCTTTGTTGCGGTCGCCTGGAGTCAGCTGGAGTTTCCTAAAGCAGAGATACCATGAGATACCCTTTTGATCCGCTGTAAGGGTTTTAGGATTTTTGGGGCGTGCGTCCGCTCTACGCGTTCTTGATTGGTATCCCCTCCCATGGTACCCCCCCCCCCCCCCCCGCCCCCGCAAGCCTGAACCCTGACCCTTAGTTAGCCCAAAACCCGCCACGAACTCCAACCCTGCTGGAACCCGAACCCTGAACCCATGATGAACCACAAGGGGCAGCGTGAAAACCCGAAACCCTGAAGTCTGGCCCTAAATCTTAAACCCTAAGCCCGTCATGAGCCACAGACCATGAACAGGGAGGGTGTGCGTGAATGCTGGCGCATAAGGGGTTCCCGATTTGGGGACCCAGCTGTCCCAGCGCCCCCCTACAACCCAATGCGAAATCCTACTGCCAGAGCCCTGCGCTGCCAACATCTCATGCTCGCTGAGCTTGGAAAAAATGAAATACCTAGCCCGCGACCTCCCGAAAGATTCAATCACTGAGCTCATGAGTCAAGCCGCTCTGCCGGGATCATCCAATTTGAAGACCTTTCGATGCTCAGGTGGTCGAGGGCAGCCGGGCTTAGGGCTTCGCACATCGCATTGCACAAGCGACAAGGGGCTGCTCCAAAGGCTTTGAGACCATTCGCGCGTGCTGGCAACACGGACGTCATCATCGTGCAACTCGCACGCGCTGGTAGCTTGGATGTAATCATCGTGCGGGCATGGCATCAAAAACCCAAGGGAAGGGCATCTTTGTGCGATGAACGTGCATCAGTGCCCAAGATTCGCAATGCGATGTGTCAGCTCAACAACCCACGGCAGGTGCAAATCTGATAGGGCTTTTGGTTCTTTGCTTGTTGGGGTACGGGTAACATGAAAAGGCAAAACTAGCGGTCTTCAGCCGAAGGGTGGCCGCTGCCTGGCATCTGGCAGGCTGGCCCCTTGTCTCCGCCACGACCAGCGCTACATGGGGTGAGCCGCTGCCTCGCGAGCACCGAAGTCAGCCAAGGTTCTTTGATTTCGCGCTGAATTGCAAACCCATGTTGGTGGGGCCCTCCCTTTCAAGGACTCTCTTATGACAGCAGAAGCTACAAAGAACAGAACATGCTCTGGCCTCGGGCCTTGCACATCGTGTCGATAAGACTGTTTGCTTTTTGCTGCAACTCTGAAGTTTGAAGGCTACTGAAACTGTTGATGGACGAAATGCAGGATTTCTCTTGCAGTCTACCACTGCTTGAACACCTAGTGTCTCCATTTACACTGAGGAGCATACTTCCTTACAACGCTTTGAAGGGGCATGTGCGCGACTGACCGAAACCCTGCATCACCCGCACTCGCATGCAACATTGAAGGCACAGGGGCACGTGAGCTGGATTGTTGACAATGACACACTTGTCATGTAGGGAGTCATGCGCGATTTTGTCCACCGAAAGACCGCCCGGCAACTCTTTCAGGTTTAACGCTCCTGAGTGCTCCATCCTCGGGTCGTCCTTGTTCCCCGGCTTATAAACCTTAAGGGAGGGGATCGTCCTTGTCTGGGGGACCACAAACCCCAAACCCTGAAGCCCAACCATCCTGCTTAGGTGCGTTTTGCGGCACCTAAGTCCGACCCAGTGCAATGCTGCCAAGCCTTGTGGGCCGGAGCCACGTGGCGAGACCTGCAAGAGAAGCGTGCCCCCCCGTTGGCTCGCAGGTACCCTAAGACAGAAGGACAAGCAAAAGAACCGGCCATGCATTTTATAGAAACCCCCAGCCCTCCCAGGGGCATTGGCGGCACCTCCATTTGCTTCATGCAACGGCTTACAGGAGTGACTCAATTCAAGAATCTGCGCGTCCGATACCTGCGCAGCACTTGCATGCCTCGAAGGCCATGATGCCAGGCGCGTCAATGCGTGAGACCTCTCGTGCGATCCGAAAAATCAGAGCGATGAACCACCAGGGGATCTTTGCGTCTCCTGGCAGACATGAAACCTTGAGACAAGCCTTTAAACAACTACGAGTCCCTGAAGCAACGAAAGCCCGAAAACTTTCAAACTCGCAACTTAAGACAGGAAAAGGCAGGCTTCGTTGCACAAGGGAGAGTTACAAATTGCAAGCCAATCCACTCTTCTGCCGCTTTACAAACCCTTGCAACAAGGTCCATCTTCGACCCTAAACCCGAGCAAAGAATCTAGTATGAGTCTGCCGAATAAACTACAAATAGAAGAAGATAGCGTTCTAACTCCGCTACACTCAACACCTAAACCTCCAACAGCTCTTTCGCCTCGGAGCGCTCGCACGAGCCCGGCAAGATCTGGATGCCATCCTCCGCGTTTACAAAGGGGACCAAGGGAACCGGGTTGGGTCCTTGGGATTTGGGTTTAGGGCATTTGGGTCCTTTACGGTGCTTAGGGTATTGCAGGTATTTGGGTTGGGGGTGCGCAGGGCCCGACAGATAAAGCTGCCAGAAGAAAGGGATGCGCGAGCCCTCTTCCACACGAGGTGCTTTCTGAATGTCCCCTAAGAAACCACCGTAAACTCTACACTACAACACAAGGACCATGACTGGACCCGCAGCGCAATGCACGGCCCCCCAGTCTGGCAAGTGTTGTCTGGTCTGTGGCACACAAGACCCTCGGGCGGTTAGTTTTAGGGCGCTCCAGGTTCTACGGTTGAGGATCAACGGTTTTGGGCCACATCAGTAAGAGAAGCCCACTCCTGTACCATGCGGCAGCAGTGAGTCTCCAGACTTGTCCACTTCAAAGGTGGCCAGCTCATGCCCTGGCAAGAACTCGGACAAAGCCCTGAAACCCCCAGGGTGCATAGAGCTCAGTCAGGAGTCTCCAAAGGTCTCAGAACCCAAGAGACGAGCATGTGTGCATGCAGTCGGAAGTTACAGGCAGGGCGGCGGTCATGTTCTTCAGTATGAACGAGAAACGCTTCTCGCCTGACGCAGGAAGCTGGCAGCCCACCCTAAGCCGATGAATCCACAGCTTCGGCAGCTGCCTGTCTTCGCATCCCAGACGCCCACGTTGTCACCAGCATCCTCCATTCAAAGGCGAGGCATCAACCAACTTCACAGGGGTGGGGTCGTACCCTCAGCATTCACAAAACCCCCCTAATACCCTCAACCCTGCCCCTCACACCCTAAACCCTAAACCCTTATGGTTTCTGCCTTGACCCATCGCTCGTAGGTGACCAGGTGGGACCCCAACGGCGAGAAGTAGAAATTCCTGCACCAGGAGTTTTTGTGGTTCAGGGTTTTACGGGGGGCCAATCTGCAAAAACTAGGGGTGCTCGTGCTCGGTGGTTCTGCTTGACTACCCCAACGATGCAAAAAACAATCGTTCCGAGGGTAGCTACTTCTTCAACATGCGCTCAGGACCCGGACAAGCCTGAAACACCGCAGAAGGGCCCACATCGCGCAATTCTGATACCCCGACAAGCCGAGGTTCTGTGAGAAGCCTCAACCCTAAACCCCCTTAATATCCTCACAGGGCCGCCGACCAGCGGAGGCACCTGGCAAATTTTGCAAAGGGACCAAGTGATTGCGGAAGGGATCAGTTTCCGGGGATCCTTCCTTACAGCACGTCTACTGCTGCAAGTTGAAGCCCGGCCGCCATCTACTTTTCTTCAAGAAGCAGGCCTGGCAGAGGGGCTCATAGCCCTGCGCGGCGCTGTACCTTTCTCCAAGGCTGAACTCTGCCATCACTCCGACATCAAAACATTCCAGAGGCACATCCAAACGTACCATGCGGTCCCAGCTGCACGGTGACGCCGCCAGCAGGATCAACAAGACCCAGGAGAGACCCGTCGGAACTCCATTCACATCCTTCTGCGGTGTTCACCTCGGCCATGAGTCGCTCCTGTTCTTAGTCCATATAGCTCGTGAATCATTATATGCATGTATGGTCACCACAAGCAAACGTTCACCCCCTCCCCCCCCGAAAACAAGAGAAACACTTCTAGGCTCTGGCTGGGGGGAAGCTCTTCTCTGGCTGGCTGGGCACGGCTTCGCCAGGCTGGAAGCTGTACCTCGCAGGGTTGACGTCTCGCGCAACCCACAAGAAGAAGATTGACAACACATGCGGAGATAGTGCTGTGACAACTCCACAGCTCAGGGTCTGCATTTTTGTCTGCCCTTGCACCGGCTCCGCGCCACGCTCGGGCTGCGAGTGGCCGAAATAAAGACTCCACGGAACGAGTGCGAGTGTTCGTGACTGCTTGTAAGTTCCCATGCGAAGACGAATCATGGGCCCGTAGTGCAAACACTGCGGTCCACACTGAGCACTCCATGCGGCTTTGGGCCGTCTGGCCGATTGAACTTGTCGGAGGGACGTGAGTCATCCACAGAAACAGCCTGCGCCTGCGCCTGCGCCTAGGCCTGCAAGGAGCGCGGCAGTTCTGCGCGCTCAGATGTCGACGAACCTCGGCACCAGTCCCACCAAGCCCTTTCTGTGCAACTGCCTGAAACGGCCCACCCGCCCGCCTTCTTCATACAGACCCGCGCCAATCCCTCCACCTCAATCCCATATCCTTGGAACCCTCCAAAGCTGTGCCAAGTTGCTTCTTCACCTTGTGGCTGCGGAACCAGCCCTTGGCTTTTCCTTTCCGGGCGTTCGAGGTTTTTTTGCACCGGTTTAGGGTCGTCAGGGTCTTAAAGTGAGGGTATAGGCTTGCATTTGTGTGTGTGTGTGATCAGAAAGTCTTTTGGATTCTACGTGCCTGCCCCCAAACCTCAACCCGAACAAGCCCTGAGATCAGCGCAAGGGTCAAGCTACTCGGCCCGACAAGCGCCCGGCCTCGAGGCTCCAGTCCGTAGACCCAGGGCTCCTGGCGAGGGTCACTCTGCAGTATGCAGAGGACCGCTCCCTTCCTGGGCGGAGGAGCTGAGGGATTTTTATCACCATTGAGGGTTTTTTCTTTGTTGTCTTTTTTTTTTGGGGGAGGGAGGGAGGCAGGGGTGTTTAGAAACCTTCATGGTCGAAGGATTTTCAAGCTAGTAGAAGGACTTGGAGAGGCAGTGTACAGGACCCGGCCTGCAGGATATCTCGTCCGACGCAAGGTCCTGCATGACGCGGCACTCCTGCAGGCTCTCCACTGGGACATCCCTGCCGTCCATGTACCTGGGCAGTTCAACGACATGTGATACCTTCTTGAGCATGTGAGGTCGTTCCAAATCGGGGTCCCCTGATGCCAAAGGATCCCTCCAACTCTCATGAAGCAGGTCCCCAAGCCATGCCTAATCCCAACAAGCATTGGCGGACAGCGCTTAAGGCTTAAGCCACCAGGAAGACTACACCGCTTTGTGTGAGGTAAGGGGAAGGCCTGAGGCAGAAGGTATGGGGATGGGAAGGCCGTGAAGGTGAGCTCAGCCACAGACAAGGTCAAAGCCATGAGACTTGTTCAGAAACCCCCTTGTGGCTTCAACGCTTCGGGTTGAGTTGCGTGGGCAAATTGGGTGTGGATGTTGCAGATGACTCCATGGCGTGACTTGCGTGCATGTCTGCTCGCCCGCCGGGGGAGCGGGTTTCGGGTTCGGGTCACGTGGAAGGCTTGAACAATACCAGTAGCACGGGCTCCCCGGGCCTTATCACGAGGTCCTTCAGGTCTGCTGGCGCCCTTGCTGCAGCATCTGGCTCCTCAAGGGCAGAGGCGATCCAGAACCCCCCAACTACCCTTGATTCCGATACTGCCCTGAGCACCTACTATGAATTTCCCTTGATAAAACTCCAATTTCCGGTTTTCGCCAGAAGCTTGTAAGTTTACACCCTCATTCAGCAGTGCAAGATCCTCCTTCCGGCTGCTTTCGGTGGCCCCCACCGTCTCCTTCCGCTTTGGCTCCTTCAGATGATGAGCAATGACGAGGACGACGACAATGGTGGTGGTTCTAGATGCCCGGTTAGCGGGATTGTGGTCCCTGTGTCGGACAGCTAGATGGTGTCTAACAGAGGACCACCATCCATAGAACTTTGGTAAGATCATTTACAGCTTTGCATGGTTTTGCGCGGCTCCACCTTGCTTGAGGGTGCCTTGACTGATGGCTTGGGCGACCTCCACGGTTGTAGGGCTTGGGGTTTCGCACGCTCAGGGATTGGCACTGGGACAAGGATGGGATGATACTATCGGTTCCCGTGAGAACGAGTCTCGTGTATTCTCACATTCGCATGCTTTGCCAACTATTCGCAGCCAATGGTTGCAGAGGTGCATGCCATGATTAGTTCCTTGCTGCACTCACAGCTGCAAGTGTAGTACTGAACCCTTCCCTTGCTGCTGCAGATATCCCCTAGCTGCAAGCCCACGCAAGCAAAGAAGTGGAAACATCAAGCACAATTTCCGAACCTATAAACACGAACACCAAACCATAGCCACTTCCCAGTCCAGACTTAAGATGCAATAATGCTCGAGGCCTTCGATGCGGCAGCTACGGATGTCAAGGGAGAACACCACGTTTGGGCAAAAGAAACTGGCACCCTTAGGGCCCAACGCCCAGCCAAGGAACGACGAAGCCAAGAGCCATCCACAGCCGGTGCCCCTACGTCCTCTGAAGCCCTACGCCAATGAAGCCTAGGCTACAGAAATCTACCGAAGGCCAAAAAGAAACAAGCCAGGGCCCCGTGCAGGTGCCGCGGAACTCGGGGCTGTAGCCTGCGGTGCTTCGTTGCTCTAGACTTGTAGCGGTATAGCTTTGTTTTGGAGGGGGGGGGGAAGTTAAGCCCGACTAGTGGGCTCTACGAGCCTACGAGCGTGGACTCTGTGGACTCATGTGCGGATTCTGTACGCTTTGTTCAGCTGCAACTTAAACCCCCCGAATACTCCCCCAGACTGCCTCGCTGAACTGCTTCTGCGGCAAGTTTGCCTCCAGATGCCAATTGAAAGGGTAGCCAGAAGCTCGCGGGAGAAGAGTCAAACGGGGGCACATGGGGGCACTGAAGAACTCGTTCTCAAGAAAGTTAAGTGAAGGCATGGCAGACGGGCCTTGGCATCTGGAGACGTCCCTGGGTTGCTGGACGCCTCAGATGCCGTTTGTGTCTAGGGGCTGAGCACAACCTTTTCCCCGAAGGTCGGACTTCGGTTATAGCGCAGCATGGAACTCAACATGTTGGTGGCCGCTTGACCACAAGGGCTTGAAGGAAAAAAGTATGGACCTTGAAACGCCTTTCTCGATTTCGGGCCGCGTTAACAAGTAACACTCCGCATGCCGCATGTGCCATTGTTGCTTGTCTGTATCTCTTGTAACAACCACTGCGGAACAGGAGCTGCCGCAGGCGTGGGCGCGGCTGCTGGCGCAGGAGCTGACGTAGGAGCAGCTGTTGGCGCCGGCGCCGGCGAAGTCACGGGCGCCGGGGCTGGCGCAGGCACCGGCGCTGGCGCGGGCGCTGGCGCAGGCACTGGTGCAGGCGCGGGGCCTGCCGCTGGTGCTGGCGCAGGCGCTGCCTGAATTGAGGTCGCATCAGGTATGGTCCGGTCTACCCGGCTATTGCATGCAAGCTCACTGTCGGCAATGTCCTGCCAGAATCTCGTTCAATATTGATCATTCACATTTGCACTCCATGTCCTGTGTCGTGTATGTGATGTGGATCGAAAATTGAAGACACCAGAAGCTTGCAGATCCAACAGTGGACAAATACAAATGCCATGTGCTTCGCGATTCTTGGTGAAGCCGCGCGGCTGCATCCCCGGTGCCATTGACCTCAGCCAAATGTCAGCAGAGCTAGCTGGGAGGCTTGGATACCTCAGGCCGTCTTTCATCCTTGTCATGATGCTGGTCGTCATCTTTGACTCAAAAACGGTCAAATGCGAAAAAGAAACTGAGATCAAGGCTGTTGGCTGTGCTGAATGCACTGGAGGCGGCGCGAAGCCTTTGGCTCCATTCGCCTGGCTTCGCGTAACATCAAGCGTTGGCTTTGGGTGCTTCCATGCTTTGCAGTCACCATGCACATGGTAGCATGCAGCACGCATCTCGAGTGCTACGTTGTGGACAAGCGCCTCAATCAAGTCCCCCAAATCTGAGCACTTTGATCAACTTATGGCTTGGCACAAGTTGTTCACGGTAGTTCTTACGACTATGAAGTATGAACGAAAAAGTGCGCAGGCATGGCTGCGCCTGGCTGCTGCCCGTCGGATCCGGAAACTGGCACGTGGTGTCATCAAGACGAAGTCTTAAGGCAAGTATTAAAAAAAAAAAAAACATGGATCAGGTGCGTGAGATTCAGACACCCATTCGATGCATGCGGAAGGCAATGGAAACAAGAGTTTAAGCAAATTACGAGTAACCAGGGCGAATTGCCCGTCAGCGGCGGAGTCCGCATATGAAAGGAGTTAAACCCAGAGTTAATTCTTGCAGGAATGTGCTGGAAATGCTTGGTTCTTAGCGTCTTCAGAAGCAAAAAACTTCTGGCATCTCCCGTCTCCAGAGCTGTCTGGAAGCAAATGAATCCAGATATGGGGCTTTCCGAACTTTGGGGGTCTATAATGGTCTACATCAGGGGTCCCCTATTATCGTAAACCCCCATACATTTTCTCTGTGGCGTTAGGTCTGGTAAGCCGTCCCCAGGTTTGCCTCGGGTCAATTAACTCCAGCGTTCCGTGGTTGGAGGTCACGGAATTTCTGGGAGCGGGGAGGCGCGCGCAAGCGTATGAAATCCAGAGTTAATTGACTGGAGAGGGGGGGACCTCTGAAGTTACAGAGCTAGTTGCTTGAAACTCTTGTTTCCATTGTGTTGTGGATGCTGGCCTTGCTGGGTGGCCTTTCGGAGGATTTCCTGGGCCTCAGCAGGAAGCCATGAGCACTACTGCTGACAAGCCGCAGTCACATCTTCGCAATTGTCAGCCCCGTCAGCTGTAGGCAATGGTTGTAAGCATCAAGCCCGCACTTACGAAAAGCAAAGTCGGGCGAACTTCAGCTGAGCCCCGAACCTAACGTGTTAACCCCAACCTTCTCGAAGAATCCCCTCATGAGGCTGCGACTCACCAGCGGGTGCTGCAGCAGGGCCTTTGTGCAACTTGTCCCCAACAAGAAGACAAAAGACACAAAGGGCTCGTGTAAGCCAGTGTGTGCAACCACCCCACTTGTCCCCATCCTGAACCCTGAGCCATTCTGCAGAACCTTTGCTTAGAACTCTCAGCCTCGTCGGAACAACACCACCAACAGAAACACCAACACCAACAACAACACCAACACCAACACCAACACCAACACCAACACCAACACCAACACCAACAACAACGGTAGCCATCTGAGAGCAGCCCAAGGCCGAAGCCAAACGGATGCGAAGGCGTGCGCTGGGCAGGCGGAGCCGTGGACGTGCTTTGGCCGCCCTGAACAGGCAGACGACGACACAAACTCTGAGGTTTTGATAGGGTTTAAGGTTTAGGCAGACATCAACCCATTATGTGCAACAACCAAGCATACATATGCTGAGATATACAGAATGCTTAACTTGCACAGTGTGCTTGTGTGCTTGAGCTTGCGGTTTCCCTGCGACCCATGCATGTTCTTCATGTGCTTTCCTGGCATTCGGGAGTGTGCTGGCTTAATGAGGCGTCTCGGGCCTGAAATTAATTCTAAGGGTGCACGGCCCAAAGCTTTGTATAGGGCTCAAAGGTGACTCTCGCACACAACCTGCCTCCTCCTGGCCTGCAGCGCCTGCAGGACGAGCGGGAGGAAAGGCCTCAGAGAGCAGCTCTCAATTTCTTGAAGTTGTTGCCAGCTGTTGCCCGAAGCACCACGGCGAGAAGTTTAGGCTAAAGCACCTGTAGATGCGGAATTCCGAAGCCACTCAGGAAAAATTGCCCTGCTGGGAGAACAGACAGTCCAACTAACCCTGGCACCAATCGGCTTAGGATGGGACCGATGGCTTCGGAGCTGCCCGGACGCTGGGGCCTGTTCCCCCAGTGGCTGGGGATCGTGCACGCAAGGAGTGTAACTGACAAACTCTTGGCTCCGGCTCCCATAGTGTGACCAGCCTCCTATCCCGACCTCTGTGCACATCAAGATTGCGCCGAATGCTGTGATACTTGGAAGCCTCTCATGAACTCTCAGTGGCGTTGCATGCGGGCTCGATCACGCCTGGTTCAGGTTGAAGCCATTCGCCAGCAAATCCTGTCTTGGCCTGAATTGAGAACTTGGGGTTTCACAACGTCAAGTGGGGTCTTTCACACACTCTAAGCAGGACAGAATGCACTCCATCGGGAACCATAACTTGAGCCCTCGACGTGCGCAGTGTTTTCGCCAAAGACAGCGTTCAAAAAGCAAGCACTTTGAAAATCGCACTTCGCACGTGTCGAAAACATCGCAATGCGCAGTGTGTTTGCATATGCGACCACGAAAGCCTGGTGGCAGTGGTGATTTTGAGAATACACAAGATACGTCCAGCGAACGCAACGCTCAAAAACGTCGTGTAGATTTTCCTTTCTCTTAGAGATTCGCGGGTTGAGAATGGAATACATTACCACTGTTGTATCGACTGCAAAAGGCAATTTCGGGGATGCCTCAACGGTGGTTTGGGTTTGGGATGTGGCAGACAAAGAAGAGAGAGAACAAAAACAGAGAAAAAGAGAGAGGTAGAGAAGAGAAAGAGAGCGGAAGAGATGGAAAGAGCGCGCAAGAGAGAGCGAGAGAGAGAGAAATAGCAAATGACATACGAGTACAAGTGTTACAGCCTCTCAGGCCCGGAACCCCTTTGAATCTTTAGGGCTTCAGGTTTAGGGTTTAGGGTTTAGGGTTTAGGGTTTAGGGTTTTGGGTTTAGGGTTTAGGGTTTAGGGTTTAGGGTTTAGGGTTTAGGGTTTAGGGTTTAGGGTCAGGAGCACCGCTGTAAAGCTGTTTTGAAGGGCGGGCCGGGTGGGGTTGGGGGAGGGTGGGCAACCACATGATGCTTTGCCCGTATGTCGGCTTTTGCGTGGCAGCCCTCTGTCACAACATGCACCCGCACAACAAACTGCAAGCAGGAAATCTGTAAGCAGGAATCTGAAAGCATGAAGCTGTTCCATTCGTTATAGCCCGATTGCGCCTCGGTCTTAGGAAAGTGTCTGTCACCGTTGGTGGCGGTGAAGCTGTCCTGGCCAGCTAGGCTTCTGCTCAGGATTGCTTTGCTGGAGAACTAAGTGTATCAAGTGGACATAGCACCAACGGATACACGTGCCAAGGCACTGCGCCCGCAAAGATCGGCCGATCCGTGGGCTTCTGGAACCGTTCCTGACTAGATCGCAGCTCAAAGCAGACGACACCACTACAACTAAGCAAGGGCGTTTCTGCGCATCTTCTATGGCTCCTAAACGCCATCCGAAACTTTTCGACTGCAAGTCCGATAAATCTGAGAATCTATATATGAAAATGTACATATATGTATATATATATATATGTTATATACATTCCAGTATTCGTACGTATTATGTTACACTTGAGGGGCAAAGCCGAGGACAACGAAAGCTAGCGCCGACGAAAGCAAGCGCCATGGCTAGGACCTCGCTCGATGCGTAAGGCACTTCTATCCACCCATCTCTCCGGCTTCCGTCTCCGCCTACTCCCCGGCCCACCCCGCTTCCGCTTCCCCCCCCCCCTCTTCCTTGTCCTTAACGCCAAACAGCACGACACACCACCACGACTGCCACCCACCACCACCATCGCCATCACCACCACCACACTCCACACGCCACCAGACCACACCCCACACACCGTAACACATGCGCTCACAGAGACCGCGATCCAGATCCGCGGAGCTCCCCGAAACATATGCTTCAGAGAACGCTTCACACAGACTGCGCCTAAAAAGAAACAAAAAAGAATGACAGATTCGAGGAGTCCCCTTTTCTAGAATCAAAAATCCTTGATATGTTCAATGCTGACCCACCCCACAACCCCCACCCACCATTTTCCTTGACATGCTCTTGGACCGGCTTCTAAAGCAAATAAAGCTCTATGATCTAGTTAAAGCTGTGATTTTCAGAAGCCCCCAACCAACATGGGCCCAAGGTTCCGAGTGTGGGCGAACGGAAACGCCCTCAATCGGCTCAACAATCCTCGGTTTAGGCACTACGCCTGATAGGGCTTTAAGTTGGGCTTCGAGATCTACTACTTTCAACCTCTCAGCCTCGCAGCTCAGCGCAGAAGCACAAAACGAGCTGGGCGAGCCTGTCGCGCTTGCGGAGGGTCAACACCACCGCAGACCTGGTGCGCGGATTCTCCTGCACAGACACTGGGTGAGAACGACCGGGCCCGAATTCATTGAGAATGACCAGGGCAAGCTAAGCTTGGAGTGAACGGATCTGACTCCTGACGATCGATTTCACGCGGCTTGATGGCATCCCGCGCCATCTCCACGCAGAAGCTTTTCTTCTCGGCCATTGCAGGGAAAAGCCTGTCAACGAAATGTCCGCACAGGGACAAGAGTTGTCAAGAGTTTCGGGTTGAGGGTTCACTGCCCATGCCCTGCCTACACTCGGACATTCTCCATGACAGGCCATGACAAGAATTATTCAGTTTGCCGTCAGCTCACAAGCCTAACCTTGTATTATGAATTAACCCTCCCCCCCTTCCCCTTCCCTCCCCCCCATTCAAAAAACCGTTCCCTCCGGGCCCCTCGCCCTTTCGGCCCCTCGCCCTTTCAACCCCTCTGGGATTAGGGTCTCCCAGGAGAAAACCAACCAGTATTCTGAAACAAAGGGTGTTCTACAGGGATTACAGCGTTTATGCCTGTGTTGCGACCTGCCTAAATCCTCAATGCCAGACATGGCACTCACATGGTGATTCTCGGCCGAGACACTCCAGCATGCGAGAACGGCTCAAGCCGTCCAGATAGCCGGAGGTTTGGTAAGGCTCTTCGTGATGTCGCACAAAGGATCTTAGTAGTTCGTGCCGCTGCACAAGATCCTAGCCATGGAGGCTGCACATGACCAAGGCCTGCGTAGAGCAGCCAAGGTTCACCACTGCATCGGTCTCCTTCTTTTTGAAGACAATGACAGCGCACTTGCCACCATCAACCAAACTCGGTCACAAGCACACCGGTACGCGAAGAAACAGCAATCACACACCATCTGCAGTTGATTGTTAGAAGTGGAAAGAAGGAGAAGCACGTGAACAAGGCATCAATTCATCAGGAGCAGCCATTCCATGGCTGCATGGAGCACCTCATCCAGTTGCTGCATCTCCTCACATATTTCAGAGGTCTTCAGAAGTCTAGCCTAAACGAAACCCAAGAACAGGTAAATGCGTCGTGCAACTACTATACTAGGCAGATCGTACCTGGAATCGTACTTGAAACTCGTACTAGAAGCTGTACTTGTGCTTGTCGATGTACTAGCATGTTAAAATGAAAAAACAGATTGCTATTAAACCACCCTTCAACTCCCCCCCACCACTCCGCGCCACTCCACCACCGCCACACGCCCCCCCCCCCCCCTGGGCAGCCAAAAACCATCAAAAACCCTAAAGCCCGTGGCGCCTGATTCAGGTGCACACGGAGGGCCTGAAAGGTGAGCTTTGCCTCAGAAGGGATTTAGGGTTATGGGCTTTTTTTGGGGATCTGTAAGGAGCAGGGTTCAGTTTAGGGCTTGATGCAGAGGAACCGCTCCCAAGCAGAGGGCTTTAGAGTGCATGGGGTTTACGGGTGTTAGGCTGTAGGTAGGGCGTTCAGGAGAATAAGGCGTGTGGGGCTTAAGCGGTTGAAATACAAACCCCTTAAACATCCCTCAGCTCTGCAAGTGGAGTCCCAAAGCAATTGATGCCCGAGCACCCCTGAACATCCCCCAAGCCCAGAAATCTTGCATTTCCCAAGGGGCCGGGTGCTGGTTGCGTTCATCCCAGCCGTTCCTGATCTGATTGATGACCAGCAGGCTTGCCAGAAGTGCTTCCAGTTTAGGGACTTGCTGACGGTCGATTCACGAACATTAATGACAAACTCATTCCAGAAAAAAGCTGCGCGATTCCATGAGCTGTGCCTTTTGCGACTGCTGGGCGGTCGGTCGCGCGCAGTGTTACCAAAGCTGCTCATTCTAATTGCCAACTGGGTGTCTTGACCCTGCGCACAAGCTCAACCAGGTGCTTTGTCGTTCGCAGTTCCAGTCCCTGTGAGATCCTGGCAAGCGCACGACGCCAACGACTCTCACCACATGATACAGCGGTACAACATCAGTGCGCAGTATCTGGGCCTTGTCTTGATCGCATAGGCAATCCGATCGCTGATCACGGGATCCCCATCTTCACCATACTCGTGGATGACCCAAGCAATCTCCTCGAAAACAATCTGGCACTCAGCGCTGCCCTATTCTGTGGTTATCAGGCATACCTGCGGTGGAATGTTCTCAGCGCGCCAAAAGGATTTCACCTAGCCCGCGTCAAAACGTTAAAAACAAAATCGCACAAGCCCATGCTCCTCCATCGACGCTTGCCTGAGCCACTGCCAGGCTGGGATGCCGACCTCCTGCAATGGTAGAGCTTGAAGGCACGGGCCAAGCTTTACGTGCCACATGTAGTGCATCATAGTGGAGGTGAAGACCCAACAAAACTGCACATCAAGAAGATTCCACCAAGGGTCTTGGGCCCCGAAGTGCTGATCGAACTGACAGGGACGATGACGATATGGCAGGGGTGAACAAATCTTCGCACTGGTTCCGTTCCCGAGAAGCAACATGTCCTGATTCATCCGTAGGTCCAGCTCGGCATCCTGTCAAGCGGAGCTGGGCAAAAGAAGCGAGGATCTGCTGGCAGACCGCCAGTGTCCCTGCATTCTCACTGCAGGAATGCCCGGGCCTCACGAACGCGAATTTGAGGTGAGTGTTCCTCCCCCACCCTCCCCCACCCTCCCCCCTCCACCCTCCTCCCTCCGCCCGCCCCCCTCCTCCCTCCCCCCTCCTCTTCCGTCCCCGCCTGAGTGACGTTGAATCCGCGGGACCGGTTGTCCAGCTGCGGGCTTGACACACCCAGGTCCATCATGATTCCGTCCTCTGGAATGCCATGAAATGGTTTTTGGGGAGGAAATACGTGAAACAGCGCACAATGTGTCGGTTCAACTTGTGCAACCAGGCATCGATTTTGCGGCCCGCCAATTCCTGCAGAGGGCAAAGGCAAGAGAGATTTTGAAGAGACCCCAAAACATTGCACGCCCCTCCTGCTTAGGTGCGAGGCAGCTGGAGCACACTCCAGAACTCGAACCCTAAACCCGAAAAACCCTAAAACCCCATGCCAAAAAGCCCTAAACTCCATGAGGCTCCTGTCGCAACTCCGAGAACGGGCGATGCGCAATGTGAAATCTCGGATCCTGGCAAGGCCCGCCCCTTCTTTGCTTCGCAGGATCCAGGGGTTTCAAGGATTTTGGAGTTCGAACGTGTGCGGATTCTATGATTCCATGCACGGGTTCGGTCTTCAACCGGAGAAAATCACGAAAATCTCCCCAAGAAATCGGTCCAATGCCTGTGAATCTGCTCTTGTGTACTCGAGTAATTACTTGGGCATAGGGCAGTTGTGGGGTCAACTTTCGGGTCACAGTAATTACGAGCTGCCTTCTTCATAGAAGCTACTTCACTTTGGCTGCCCTAACTTCACCCAGGTTCGTTACGTGTTTGCTGCGTGTTCACTAGGGCACCTGGCAGCTTTACTACACCTGACTTCCGATACATTTCATTCGCCTTCAAGGACTGCAAGAACCTTGTACCAGGATGAACTCGACCGAAGAGGACCAGACGAAAACCCCACACTAAATCCCGAACGATCCCGAAATGTCTCCTGCTTCTCAAGCGCGCGGGCCACAGAGACTGCTTCCGGATCCTTTGAAGCGTTGTGGTCTACGTGGCTTTGTCCCAAGAATGCACCAGCCGTGAACAAATAATTTTCTTTCGCGGAAGTTTAGCACCGAATCGCGTGCACCTCTGAACCCTTGAGCATTGAGAGTCCAGGGAGGTGGTTTAAGGGAGGTGAGTTTAGGATTAAGTTCAGGATTGAAGGGTCCAGGGAGGGTCCAGGGAGGCCTGAGTGGAGGACCCCGTAGGCTGGTTCCTTGTGGTGCACAAGAAGTGTGGCCGGAGGGCTAAACCTTCAGCCCAGTTTCCACGTCGAAGGCGATAAGCTTCGCGGAAGGCGACAGTCTCTCCAAGATCTTCCGGCTATGCCCTCCTGGCTTTGAGGCCCCGGTATGGTAGCTATACGGTTGAGGGTTTAGAGTTTGTTTGTGTGGCTCTCAAAGGGTGCACCTCAAGACCCGATCCTCTTCCGAACGTGCAGTCCACAAAGAGGCCATCCCAGGTCCCATCTTGACGCGAACACTTCCTGTCGGCTTTCTCGCGTCACAACCCGGGAAAGTGCGAGAGATAGATCAGATAGGACGTTTACTATGTGTACTTATGCTTGATTCACGAGTACTATAGAAGTAGGGAACTGACGAACCTGCACTCTGCTCCTGGGAAAGGAAAACGGCCATCAGCACAATTACACTTAAGCGATGGACTAGCCTACACTCGCATATACATATATACATACATATATAGATATGTACATATATAGTGGTTTCTACATTCAATTGGTGTCGGTTTATATCTATATCTATATATATCTATATATATATACCCACATACATCTCATATACCATAAGGTCTTGGTAAACCAATTTTTCTAACCCACGGAGGGGGCAGGTGTTGACGGTAGCTTCTGGGCCAAGGCGCACATCCGGAAGCATCTCGTTCACGGCGTCCTCGAGATGACCTGCTTTTTGCATCTTTGCAGTGCAAGGCCCGGCCTTTGCTTAGGGTTTAGGGTTTAGGGTTTAGGGTTTAGGGTTTACAGTTTAGGGTTTAGGGTTTACAGTTTAGGGTTTAGGGTTTAGGGTTTAGGGTTTAGGGTTTAGGCTTTAGGGTGCACTCGAGCACTCTGTTTCCAGATGCTAGCCGCGCCTCAGGCAACATGCCTATCCAGTCAGGCATCTTCTAGATGCTGGCAGGGCATATTCGAGACCCGACACCCGAAGTCCCCGAAGAGGGGCTCTGAGAAGGAATGCTCACGTCCAAGCGGCATGGGATGTGCCCAAAAAACTTGGCTGGCACCTTAGAGGCAACCGCCACAAAGGATTCTGAATGGGATTTCCCAACAACTCTAAGCCCCCTATAAGCCTCAGACGAGACGGACAACAGGCACTGCGGTACAAGTAGTACTGATCAAGTCCACTTCCACCCAGGCACCGAAGTCTCACGGCGAGCGAAGTCGCCTTCGAGTTACGCATGAGGGCTTCATCTTGTGACAACGCATTCTGCAAGCGCAAGCAGATTTCCGAGTGGGGTATCGCTCTCTCTCTCTCTCTCTCTCCCTCTCTCTCGCTCGCTCTCCCTCGCTCTCGATCCATGGATTTCACGATGGCCGTGACATAAATTGAAGGGATTCTGGCCTCGATCTGCGGCCTGCGGCCTGATCTCACAGGGAGTCTACGCTGTAGGCTTGTGGCCAGGGAGCCCCATAAAGCTTAGCGCAAGGGGTGGGATCACAGGGGGACACAGCCTTAAGGGATCATGGCCAGTTCCTGTTGCTCATCAGTGCTGTCATCCCTCGTATCTCCGATCCACCTTCCTACCCGCCGCTCGAAGGACTCGCCAATGGGCGCTGCCATGTTCCTCTGATACCTGCGCAGGGGAAGTCTTCAGAGAGTTGGGACACTGTCACGTATCGCGTCATGACAGCAATAAGCCATCTGAGCACAGGATATACCCAAACATGATCAACACAAGGGTCGCACCCTGACCAGGCATTGTCTGGTCTCGGTTGCCGCTGGGGAGACCAGGCATTTCTCTGTTGCCGCTGTGGAGAGGACGCCTCCCTGGTGACAGGATGGAAGAACTTGGAGTACTCAGATTATCTCACCACTTTAACTGCAATAAGGTAATAAGGCAGCAGGCCTGGGAGGAGATGCCGGGATGGCCCATGGAGGGATGTCTGGCACCTGCACGGGTGAGGGCTGGGTCTTGATCCACACACGCCATGTTACGGGGCTCAGTTCTGAGATGCTCCTCATCGGCAGCACATCACATCATTGCACACAAGGCGACTTCCACGTGATGGAAGGACTGCAGCCTGCCTGCGGTGGCGGGTCTGGGAAAGGTGCCATGGCTTCTCGTAGAAGCGACTCTAATCCTGCTTTACCTACACATACTGCTCTGAAACAAGGTCAGCTGCACAATCTGTGCTAAGCCGCTAAGCCAGTGAAGCCTAAGCTCCCCCAGTCAAAAAAGTGTAGACATGTGTAGACCCAAGCATGCAGCAAAAAGCTGACCAGGGAGGCATCGGGTCCGGGCGTTGGTTGGCGAACACCGCAATTCATCAACAAAACTGGCAGAGCAAGCTCTCCCTTTTCAGAGCTCTAGCTCTGCAGAAGCCCTCCTGTGTTCACCACATGTCAGCAGAACAGCAACAGTGTCGTACAGGACCCTAAGTTACCCCAAGCTCTCACAAGCTCTCTGCTCTCGGCAGCGGGGGCTCACAGCTGGACACCTTTTCGTGTGACGGCGAAGAACTCCATGAGCCGCGCGCCTCCCAGACTTGAGATGCTTAAGGATGCTGCGATTACCGGGTCCCTTGCTTGGTAAGAATTGCATCCCAAGCTTTCTCAAAACAACAGGCAGCGACGATTCTACATGGCAGAGGTGCAGGGCAGGCAAGTGCGCGACCGCAGACAATGTTGGCCCAGGCCATTCTTTTTCGGGAGGGGCGCTGCAACCCAGACGGGGGTAGAAATCCAAGCCGGGATCTCAACACTCTTCCGGCTGTGGCTTCGCCAGAGCTCAATCTCCGCAATTGAGGGAGTCGTGGGGATGGGGGGGGGGGGATGGGATGGAGCTTTGTTAGAGTTAGAGGGCTAGCAGGGGATGGCAGGGGGTGGCCGTTCGGGGAAGAGATTGAAAAAAATGACTTCCAGCCGTGGGAGCCGCGAAATGACGCATCAGACGAATCATTCGGGAACGGCTAGGCACACTGAGCCATTGTAACCGTCGGACTGCGTGGAAGAAAGAGATCGTGGAGTAAGCACACCTGAAGCCTGAGAGAGCAATGGACACTCTTCGGTTTCGGCTGTGCGTGGACATGACTCAGTGAAGCACAAACTGCCCTAACATCTACCTTCCAGTGTGTCAATTAAGACGCCAGGGAGAAGCTCGAATTTCACAACACAGACACACACGATGACAGAAATGAAAAAGCAGAGACTGGAACCTCCTGAGAAAACCAAGAAGGTTAAACGACTGCGCAGAAGTGTGGAAGTATCCTCTCGGTCGCCCTTCAGGTCTTTGGATGTGCTGCCCACAACCAAAAGCCAAATAAGCCACTTCATCCATCGCGTGGCCGCGAGCTCTCGCATCTTCGATAGCAAGTTTCACAACCAGTTTTAAATGGCCTTGAAGCCTTGAAAGCGCCCAAAGTTCACCAAAGTTGAAAGGTGAAAGGTTTCAGCACGCTGTGTCGAATGTGAACCTCATCTAACGCATGGCTGCCAAAGGAACGTCTCTCTGCAAGGCATCGACAATGAGATTCAGCTGTGTCTTCAAATCTCGAAGCTCCACCTGCCCAAAATTGCACCATGGGTTTGCTGAGAGTTCGGGAGCTATGACCGGATTCGGATACTACAGAGCTATCACCTAAGAGTGCCTTGCTGCCATGAAAGGTGGCGGTGGCTTCCGTTCCCCTGGATCGTGGCTTGGGGAATCATGTGTTGTGTTGGGGGGCCCGCGAGGCCGCGGTTCTCCAGGGCTTCCAAGTCTCCCGAGGTCAGAATCTGTCATAAGAGCCTAAAACAAGTCATTGGAGGCATAAAGAGTGACATCTCAGAAGCTTGTTGCAGGAATGGGACAAAGTAAGTCTAGCAAAGAAAGCAGCTTCAGGACACATGGGGTGAACTCCTTCATTGCGTGTAAGAAAGCTTCCGTACGGGATGTCCTGGATAAAAGCCGGAGAAGCCAACAACCCCCATGCACCTGTGCTTAAAGGAGACATTCTCGTCTACCGAAAGCCCCTACGATGTCTGAACGAGCGCCAAACCCAGTGACTGTTGCAGCAAGCATATGGCCAGGAATAACCCTCCGAAGAGCGGAGTTCCCTGCCTCCGCATGCGCTTGGAAGCGGCTTTGTGCCTTCATGAGCCATGTCTGATCACGAAGTAGCTTGCCGACCTGAGACAAGATGACGCCACTGAGGAGCCCGCAGAAATGTTGAGAAAAAAACCTGTGGCTAAGGGCTGCTAGGGCTATACTGCACACTGCGGCCAGCAAACATCCATGGCACGAGCAGGTCCTCGGAATCGTAAACATCCCATTAAGAACTCATCCACGGAAACTGCACCACCCTCGTCCAGGTCCAGGAGTTTGAAGAATGACCAGGCATCCCAAACATCCTCTCAGGCTGATGATGATGATGATGATGGTGATGATTGTTGTGCTGTGGGGGGGGGGGGGGGGGGGCGCGGGTGGGGGGTGGGCAACAACCCTGAAAGGCATGTTATGCACACATGCACATATGTATGTATGTATATAATATATATATATATATAGACATTCCTGATACTCCTAAAACAACCTTCGGGACCTTCACATGAACGTCGGTAAGCACAACATACAACACATACGACAATACGACATGTCACATTATGAGCTAGTGAAAGGCAAGCATCCAAGCTCAGACTTTCGAAGTATTCTCGCACCGCTTCTGTGCCAATCTTCTCCTGCAAAATGAGAGTCACCGTGGTCTCAAGGGGAACATGCTTGAAGAAGAACATGCGCAATTTTGTGCAGAACGATGCTTCCATCGTTTTCCCGCCAGGACTTCCCTGCCGATTACCTAAAAAACAGCCCGCAAGCAGCTTCAGCTTCGACCCCCCCACTCCTCAAACATTGGGAACGTGATAGTGGCTTCCAGCTCTGCGTTGCCGTCTGCGTTGAACTTTGTGAAAAGTTGGCGGAGCTTGCGCATGTGAGTTTCCTGCAGGGCGGACACATACAGCAGGGGGCTCATGGGGGGGGGTGGGGGGCCAAAGGGGGCCCACGTCCCACCAAGGTCCCTACCTTAACTTATATACCCCTGTACCCCTGTTGCCAATACCGCCCGAATGATGCCACCGTCCTGCGCCGTGCACATCTCTCAGTCTGAAATGAGTCTTAAAACTTAAAGCCTAAACTCTAAATCAGACACGGAGGGGCTGTGCTGGCTGAAGCGGTTTTTGACTTGCTGCATGAGCCGGGGCAGCGCTAGTTTGTCACACATTCAAGGCGAGGAGGCCTCTTTGAAGGTCTGCACCGGTTGCGCTTTGGTGTTGGGTTGTCTGCGCGCCGCCCTCAGAAGTAGGGTAGGTGCTTTCTCGAAGAATTCCGCAAGGGCACACACGCCAAGGGGTGCCTATGTGCATGTCTGCACGTATTGCGTGTTGCATTCCCCTTGTGCTGCTTTGTCCTCGCGCCGCCCTCAGAAGTAGGGAGGGCTTTGCCCCGCAACGGAGCATGACGATGAAGCTGTACATGCTTCAGACTTGTGTGGTCTGGCCACTGTTTTCTAGCCGGAGTCTCTTACCAACCGGAGATGTGAGATGACACAGCCGAGTCATTTGGACTTTGCAATGGGTCAGTTAACGTGGGAACCTCTTTCTTCAGGGAACTGCAAACGCCACCTACTTTGTACTCTGACTGGGCAGCCTGTTATTGCACGACATCCTGTCGTTCCGCAGATAGACTGTCCAACTACCATGAGCTTTGCAGGGACTGTCACCCCCGAACCCTTCCCCTGAAAGCTCAGTCCTTGTTCTCCAGGATGTTCTGAACAACCGCCGCATGGTCGTTCTGCGCCGATTCGATGGCTGAGTGGCAAAAAACTCCTGCTCGAGTTGTGCAGTGCCCCCAAATGGACAGGGCATCCCTGTTGCCCCATGCGGGCGCACAGGGCGAGTGTACTTCAGCGAAACATAAGGCAGCTAGTAAAAGTGGGCTTATTGTTTGGCTTGGGGACTGTTCAGGGTGAACTCGAAGACAATGCACAGCTTGCACGGCAAAATGCTCTGAGAAAGCACACCATGGTGGAGACGCGTGCTAGCACTTGATGGCTTTCACTGAGAGCGAACGAAGCTGTCCTGTGACAACATTAAGAACCTGAGTTTTGCTCTCTGGAACCTTCAACATCCAGGTTATTGTACCACCACAGGAGTATCTCGGAAGAACATGTCGATAGCCCAGGCTCTGCAAAATAAGTGAAACTCACGTAGAAAAGGAAGACGAAGACCCACACGGATGACCTGAACGCTCAGTTGCGAATGCCGCTCTCTCCTACCATTTCGTACTGCCAACAGCACACAGGAATAATGAGGCACGTTGAGCGTTCTTCAGATGAAAAGATCGAAGAATAAACGCGTTAACCCCCGGGTTCTCTTCCCGACTCTTCAATTCAGCCTTCTCCCAGCTACCCAGAACTGGGTGCGCCAGAGTGGCATATATGATACTGGCATGAGCAGCTCAACATAGCTGATTCCGTCGGTGATGCTCATGAACAGGGACAGCATGGAGTCCAGAACAGTGCCGAAGCGGACCTTTCAACTTGGCAACTTGAAGCTGACACAAAATGTCAGGGAATTCCCTTGGGGCAAATCCCCCCCCCCCCACAGAGAACATCTTCAACGCTTCGCTGCTCATTTACTCCGCAACAGGCGCAGTGCACATCGACATGGCCTTCAAGCTGTCCCTGTACACTTCTGGCATCTCCGTTTCCGGGTCCTTGAGATAGTCGTTCCTGAAATCATCGCTAGCCACATGATTCAACATGAAACTGCTGTGGCACACCGTGTTGAACCGCCAGGTACACAAACTTTCGATCCCCTATGAGCATGTGCAGCCGAGACACGTAGCTTGAGCGAAAACAACGCCGAACACGTAAACAATGAGCGCCAGCCTTTGATGCTGCAGGCATACGTTGACGGTGCTTTCGGGATTTGCACCGCTCCCTTGGGACCTCAAAGTGGCTAAAGTGATTGATATCCGTTTACTTGGGGCATTTCCATCGTTACTTCCATCAATCTCCTTAAGCCCTCAAAACCCGAAAAAGCGCAGGCATAGGTCCGAGGAGCAGAACCAGGGCCCAGAACAGCGACTTCAACGTATTTACTATGGATGAAACCAGCATCCTCAGCGCCATCACAAACCGGAAGATCCGCATCAAGCGCACCGCTTTGACGATACCTGCATTGTGCAGGCACATTGGCTCCATCTGAACCCAAAAACTTGGAGCGTCTGCCGAGTTTGGGCGGGTGTGACAAGGTCTGCAGAAAACAAAGGTGCGTCTACTGCTGCTGAAGGTGCGTGTGATGCGAATGATCCGGAAGGCTCTGAGCCCGGACACGTCAGCGACGGACTCACTGGTACCTTGCGCAGCCATCCAAACATCCACTACCTCGGGAGGCGGGCGAAGTACGAAGTCACATCGAGGCTAGAATGAAGACGTCGGCCAATATTGCTGCATGGACAGGCCACAATATCCCACAGCGCTGTGAAAACGATGAAGGTGTCAAGCCAGCCCCACATCCAGTCTTCTCCACAATAAAGATCCTTGCCTGGGACAATGCCAGGTTATTCCGTACATCTGTGCTGGAGCATCGGATATGCTGTCCGGACATGTGCCAGTGTCGTCTGGAGAGATGTTCCAGGCATGCGCAACGCCTACAAAACAGCTCTCGGTATGTGTAGATCGTATATGATCGCATGAATCGCAAGTCAGCGAACATTTCCGGCCACTACTCTTCCTATGGACAAATACATTGATGCAAAATGTCGTGCTGCGAGATCATGGTGAGTGCGCCGACACTTTCCGAAAGCCAGGGTTCGGCTTTAGCCACTGATGAAGCAGTGGACCCAGTGAAAGGTCTTGAGAACTTGCGCGAACATCACTCGGTTTCACGACTGATGATGTTGATCCACAAAAGAAATGAGGCATACCCTCACGACAATTGGGCACAGCTGCCACAATGTGGACAAGACTTCATCGTGAACCTCGAAAGAGCTTGTTGTTCCATCGGGACAACTTGAAGGTGGTCCCGCAGTGGCTGAGCCTGACTTGTGCCTGGCGACCGAAGGACTTCCGGCGCACTCGCAGCCGACGTTCACAAAGTGTAAAGAGCATGAACTCGCGCACTTACCCGGTCTGTGCGGTCCAGCCTGCGTACCTGCAAAGAGCAAGCAAAATCGCAGCAGCAACTTGAAGACCAAGCAAGCAGCCACACATTCAGCTTGTCACTGCGGCGTAGACCGCCGCCATGGCAGCCTGACTGCAGTCCCCAAAAGCCACGTCCTGGGACCTCAAAAGGCACGAAGGTCAAGGTGTCTCCCGGAACAAACTTGGCAGAGCTGCGCCAAGCGGACCCGAAGCACCCCGCTAGCCACACCGCAACACACCCACGAGCCACAACAACCTGCAGCAGTACAAGCTAGTATTCTTGTTCGACAGTTACAGCAGATGACTCAGCTGGAGATTCCGGTGGACGCATTGGAGCAGCTCCGTCAAGCAGTGTTACTGACGCATCTGTCGTGGAGGAAGTGAGGCAGGCTGTGCAAGAATTGTGACCGTGGGTGACGCTGCCGATTTGCTTGAGCAAAGAGCTCTGGGTGAGCCGACCTCATGGATGCCGAACAACTTGCGGCTCGAGACAAGCGCAGTCACGAGGAGCCAACTGCCTCCGCATCCGCGAGCTTCCTCTGAACCTGCGACTTCACGGAGACATTCGGAGACACACGTCGCCGCGCCTGATCAGCAGATGCAACATTTCGATCGCAGAAAGTCGGCTGTTACAGCGAAGCAGGAACTTCAGGTTCCTGTATTTGTCAACCAAGTAACCAAGATGAGTCTGAGATTTCACCTGCTGCCCTTGTTTTGGCAGTCTCCGCAGTTTACTCACAAGGAGATGAAGAGCATGATCTACTTCGATGCTGTTGCGGAACAAGTTGCCAGACCTGACGTCTGAGCAACTTGCAAGAGAGATATCCACAAGATGGTCCAAAGTTCGCAAGGGCGATGACACTTGTCGACGTAGACTTGTTGCTCGGGGCTACGGTCAGCAGATTGATGACCCGGATGACACTTCTGCATCTACGTCTAGCTTGTCGAGTCAAGGCTGAAGACTTTGTCGACGTTGGTCATTGCACGCGGTCGGCATATCATATGTGGCCGACATTTCCATGGCATGTTTACACGCACTTGTGGATGGAGATGTTTGGGTACCTGTGGCTAGTGTTGCACTGAAGAGGGTGTGGTGTGGAAACTTAAGCGTGCGACCGCGTCGCTTGAAGACTGCACCTGCACTGTGTCAGACCCACTTTGGCAGCCACACTTGAAGCGCAAGGGTTTCAGCGCGAGAACCAGTGATCCAAACCTCTACTTCCATGCCGGTCGTAAGGTGTATGTCTTGCGCTATGTTAGTGCTTCTTGGTGCTTTTTGGTGCCAAGAAAGACGTTGATGCCATTGTTGCCGCACTTCAGAAGGGAGGCTACACTTTTTGGTAGAAAGATGCGTCGCACGACGTGCTGAGATGCACATGCCCGCAACTTAAGTTGAAGGTATGCGTGCTGAATCCGCGCCATCTTCAGGCAAAAGAACTTTCCATGCAAGAGCACGAATGGTATCGCAAACTTGTCGGTCAGCTTTCAAAAACTTCCGATTTGTTTGTCACCCCTCGTTTTTGGATAGTTAAGCTTTCAAGAATGCAATGATGCTCCACAATCCCCACCTTGAGGCTGCACTTGCACCTTAGGATAACTAGGCAACTAGCTCTACTTTTGCGAAGAAAACTCTCGGGATAAACAGTGTCGAAGAGAACCTAGCGTGCATTCAGGCCGCCACTTTGAACTGTTGGACATTTCGCCACTTGGCTCGGTTTGCCGATTTGTAGACGTGAGAATCGGAGCAAAAGGACGTCGGTCAGTGCGCGCCTAACATCGGGTTTTGTTGTGGTCTTGGGGTCTTACACTTCCCTAGCCTCCTAGAGCTAGACCATGCCAACTTATGTTGGCTCAAGACTGCATGTGCCTCGCGCATGCGCCAGCATGCGCGTGCTCAGTGGTCTACAAGTCACCTTCAACGTAGAGCCGCAGGCAGAGCTCGACAAGGAACAAGGACGAGAACACGTAGCTTGCCACATGAAATCCAACCTCAGACTCTCGCGAAAGGCTACTACATCCACTACCGCGCACGCCGAGATTTGGCGAAGACGGGAGCTAGGGAGGGAGGTTCTTCCGATTATCCTGCAATCCCCCCCAGCGACTGGCAGATCGGCAGATATCCCAAGCTCAGCACCCTGCTGGCTGGACCCCATCGTTCCAGATCGTGTACTGAACATCCAGCCCAATGAAGACGGTGTTGACAATTACCTCTGGTGCAAAGCTCTCATGCCATGACATGTGCTTGTAAGCGGCATCGAGCGATGCCCAGCACAGGCCCACCATGGCATGAAGCAGCAGTCCGAGTGGCTACAAGGGTGAAGAAGGCATCGAAGTAGGAGCTCCGTACCATCTGCCTCAGGTTCCTGGGAGCTTGTAGACTGAACTCATTCTTCTAGTGTCAGTTGCAATGTCATCGGTTCTTCAGCTATTGATTCGGAACGACACATGGTCACTTGTAAACGCGCAAAGACAGATATTCTGCTGGTGCCCTGCCTCCTAAACATGCGCGTTGCACGACGCATCACACTCTCGGACTCAATCTCGGTCCGTGTTGAAGCAAATCTTGGCAAGAGCAGCAGCAACGGCGAGAATGGTAGAAGAACAGTCTATACTAGACCATGCTGCTAGTGTGGCATGATCAAGATGCGTTTTTCTTCCCGTCACAAATGGTAGTAGCATGTCCCATGCACCAAGGGTACCAGAGAATTTGAACCTCAACCCCTGCATCTGAGAGCATGAGGTCTCAATCTCAAATCAGCTGCTAATCTGAAGGATCGTATGTGGTGTTCACAGTTTGTTAGCTGGCAACCCTGGACTGGCTCATGCTCCTCTGCGACGCCGCTCCCCTGCAACCCCTCTTGCAGCTGGGGCAGCTTCCTTCGACTCGCGGTGCCGTGAACATGTGAAGCCTCAGCTTTTGCTTCCATCTCGTACCTGAGCTTTGCGAGGGGGGGGGAGGGGGGGAGAGGGGGGGAGGGAGGGGGGTGCTTAGGGTACCTGCTACCTTGTTGTGGCATGCTTGGGTGTATGTAGGTGTGTTTGGGGTCTGGGATGATCTCCGGTGAAACCGGATCTCATAGGAGCGCTTGCAGTGCTAAATGTGCATTGGGTCGGGTTCTTTTGATACGCATGAAGGTGCTTGGAGCCTTCGCCGACTTACTGCAACGATGGTTGGGAAAGTTGAGTTGCGAGGTCCTCGGCATGACATCTAGTCATCCTTGAATAGATAGAATTTGGGTTTCGCCTTTTTTTCGGGGTTTTGGGCTTTTTCCCGCGTTTTTTTAGGACCCCATAGATCTTAGAAGCTTGAAACCCATAGATAGAACATCCCAAAGAGTCTCAAAACCCATAGATAGAATATTTTCGGGACCCCGAAAAAACGCCCGTTTTCGGCCTCCTGCACACATATTCTATCTATCTGGGCCTCAAGATTCTATCTATGGGTTCCTTAACAACGTGGGAAAAAGGCAACCGTTCAGGTCCGCAGAGGTCTTGACAGAATGTGACACTGTTTTCTGTAGAGACACAGAGCACCTCCAACTCCACTGGGACCCCATAGATAGAATACAGTTTACCCCGACCCCAAGGGCGCCTCTGGGTTCTCAGGCTACGTAAGCCTCAAGAGAGGCGTCTGCAAGTGATGCCTACTTTGGGCTGTTTGGAGCCTTGCATGATATAGCTTAGAACACTCAACCCGAAACCCTAAACCCCCAAACCCACATCCGCGACTCAAACACTGTCATAAAGAGGGAACCCATAAATAGAATACAGCTGACCGCGGTGCGCGGCCCTAAAGGATGCCTATAACACCCTAACGCTCGACCCTAAGCTCCAGGCTCATTGTGCCCCCCTTGGCATGCCCCGAGCTTTCCATTCGAGCACACCGACGCGCCGAAACCCTGAGCCCTGCCCTGAGGAAAGCAGTCCCACATGCGCACAAAACACCCGGCAAACGCTGCATCCGGGTCACGCAGTGTAGCTGGTGAAGAGTGTCCTGGGCACTGAGACAACCAAGGTTCAGGGTCAATTGCTTCAGATGTTTTAAAACACGAAGCAGGGTGTCAACCTGAGAACACGATCATACAGGCGGAGGTCTTGGAACGGCTTGCTGCAAACCAGGCTTCAAACTCACTGTTGAAAGGATCTATAAACGAGTTCTAGGGCTTCTATTTATCGCAAGGATGCACCCCCCAGCTTGCCATGCGAATACCGATGTCCAGGAGAGGGCACATACCTGCACAACTCAACCTGACGGTTGCCCATTAGCCGATTGGGTGTAGAGAACCTTAGCCCTGAAACCGAAAACCCAGAACTCATGTACACCCAGCCTTTTTATAACGTGCGCAATATTAGCATAGTTGTTAAGCAAGTATTTTAAAGAATAACGCAATTAAACCATGTCCAAGTTGCGGCGTGAAGGATCCATGACTCGGCCGCTTGGGTCTTCCAGGGGTGCAACATATGGGGCTTGTTCGCATTCAGGGTCTTGTTAAGGATGCCGATCCCTTCAATTGCTTGCAAAGGGCCGAATTCAGAACAACAGCAATATCTTGGGAGTTTGGCGCTGGGGGGCGATGATTTGGGATTTGAGCGTTTATTCGGAGGTGGGGGGGTTCCAAGGTCTTCGAAAAGAGTGCAGACTGCAAAGTTCATTCCAGCTGAAGCTCGTCTGATTGCCTGCGCATACTGTGTATGTTAATTTACATATACATATCTCTCTTCATGTTTTTGTTGTTACAGAATATAGATATAGATGTATAGATGTGTACAGATAAAGTTATATGTACATGTATTTGTATCTGGAGGAGCCTTTCCGAAGCACTTCGGCTGTTGGAGCTCCTGCGGCTATTGGAGCTCTGCCTCAGATTCTTCGGATGACAGCTGCATCAGCTCTGATTAGATGGTTTAGGGACTGTGGGGGATTTACGGCTTATGGGATTTGGGGAGTATAACGGCATGTTTCCCTTAGGAGCTCGGCAGCTGCCTGACAGAGCCCCCTTGTGAACCCTCAGCTAAGTTACCAGCTAAGTCCGGCAATCACTTGCCAATTGCGCCAGGCTGCACCGACGCTTTGTGGCTAACCCTGCTGGAAGGGGTCGCAGAGAGCATCCGCGGTGACAGAAGCGATCGTAGAAGCTTGTCTTGTTGGCCTGTCAGCGCCATGCTCTAGTCTGAACCCAGTGCTCTGCCGAACAACGGCTTGCTTCGGGCGAAAGCACTTGCCGTCACAAGCAAGAAGCACATCTGGATGCAATGGGAAGCCAAAGATAGTCAAAGCAGACCATCAGACGGGACAACATCCTGGCACAATGTTTTGGCACCAAAAGGGTCCCCCAGGAGACAAGCTCCCCAGGTTCTAATGGTGCCAGGCATCGAAGCTTCCCCATCACTTCGGCGTGGTTTCGCGCAACAATGTCAGACATCTCGTCCTTGAGGTCGGTTTTCTCAGCTGAGCTTGCGTCCTCGCAGAGTAGGACATACCCAGCTACAAACCACTCAGCAGAGTGGGCAAGGCGCGTTGTCGCAACCACATACCGAGCATGTCAGCAGGCCAAGTCACGCTCCTGCGGATTCGTTTCACACTGACACTGCCCCCCCCCCCCCCCGGAGTGTTCTAAGCAATTCTAAGAACACTGTAAACATGTGCTCGTTGCGGGGGGAGAGCCAGTTGACGAGTCCTGAAGATCTCGGAGTGAACGTCCAGGCAACGCCTCCCAGCTCACACTATTAGTGTCGGAGTAGGGGTTGGGTGGGGTTCAGGGCCGGAGTGAGTGGTGCTGGTTCGGCTCATCGGGTGTACATAAAGGTTTACAGGGCAAAAGCTCGGAATCGCAGAGTCAGGGTCGTGCTGCGACCCAGATGCGGTCACACTTCTGTGAAACCTCGGTGCGAGACTCGGTGGCTTTGAAAGGCATCGGCCTTGTACATTGCAAATAACGCTTCTCAAGGCGGAACATGAAGGACTAGTTCAGGATTCTTCGAAATTGACTTCCAACTCAGAAAGCTTGGCGATGTCTCTCGGTGCCATGTTGAGCCAAGGTGCGATTCAGGCTTCTCGTCATTCATTAGATCCACGCGTTCTAGTTCAACAGCATCAAGACAATGCATCATGGCGGCGCAAAACAGCCAGCCTTTACTCCCGTTCAAGGCAATCAAGGGTATCGGATTGTGGGGGAAGGCTTTCCCCTTGTTCTGGCCTTGTTCCTTGCAATGTTCGCAAGCCAACCCCATATAAGTTCGTACATGCAGCTCGTGGTTCAAGCTAGGCCAGGGCAAACCATGTAAGAAGGGCTTAAGACTATGGCTTGGCATCTTCGGCAAGTCTGGTGAAACGGCTGTGCTATGGGACAGGGCTCACCCTGGGCCAAAGCTTCGGCAATGAGTCACCTGCCCCTACCTCTGGCCATGTTCAGCTCAATGAAGCGTAAACCTTAAGTTCCCCGTGGGGGGAAACAATTCCCGAAACCCCTTTGCAAAGGGGCTCCAACATTCGATTGCTTCAATTTTTGGAGCTCTAAGTGCTTCATCTTCATTGAATCTTCCACAACTTGCCAAGAAGTCAGAGCCACCGACTAGGCACAGCGCTGTAGAACCTCCTTCTTCCCAGCCCGCAGTTCAAAGCGGGACGTGTCACGAGGTTCAGGAGAACTCGTCTCCGCTTCCCATGTACCCTTAACCGGCCTTCTCAGCTGCGTGCCACCATGTCGATCTGCAGGGAACTCGCAAGCTATTGAATGCAGTGCCTCAGCCCTTTTTGCAAAATAGAGAGTTGGGATGTTCCCCCTTATACTAACAGTCTGAGTAAGGATTATCGTACCTATTCTAATCCCTATGAAGGACTGTTCGTCTAAGGCTTAGAATCTAAGGGGGAAACATCCCAAGTAAAGAGTCCCGAAGAAGGCGGGAAAAATCCGAAGAGTCGACGGCGAAGAATGTTCAACAAAGAACTCCGTCTGCATCCCCGAAGTCAAACAGGATAGCATCAGTTGTACAGAGCCTTAATCATCGCTGCTACAGTACTGCTATACATCGAGTTCTGGAACACTCCTATTTAATACTCTGTAACACGTTAATACGATGACACGAGGATGATAAGAATAATATATATGGCAATGATACATTAAGCCCGCCAAGTTCCTCCCCTGCCTCCCGCGCTGAAAATTTGGCCCTGGGGCACCGTCGTTTGAGCAAGAATGCCGGATAGACAAAGGCGAGCTGCGGTTTGAACCTCTGGGTCTATGGGCCAGCAACAGCCAAGGATGTGCGATTGAGAGATTGAGGGT